TTTTTTTTTTTTGGTACCGGGCATCGAACTCGGGACCTTTTGCTTTCAAGGCAGGTGGTGATACCACTGAGCTAAATATCCGGCCCTATCTGTTAATATCTTAAAGTATTGACGTCACCCTTCCGATGCTGATTCTTTTGCATTTTGTCTTTTTGTTTTTGTTTGGTACCGGGAGAAACTCAGGATCTTCCACTTATGAGGCAGGCCAGGCAGCAGCACCACTGAGCTAAATCCCTGGCCCTGTTTTGAGACAGGTTCTGCTCTGTAGCCCAGGCTGGCCTTGAACTCACAGCGATCCTCCTGCCTCACCTTCCCAAGGGGTGGGATCACAGGCCTGCATCACTCCACCCTGCTTAGCACATTTAGTTTGAAAATTTAAAATGTAACTGATAAAGATAGTTCAGCATTCACTGATGTATCTATTACTTTTATCATAAAATGTGTATTTATTAAGAATCAAGGCTCGGGGATTTAGCTCAGTGGTTCTGGCACCTGCCTTGCAAGTGCAAGGTCCCGAGTTTGATCCCTGGTACCAAAAAGAAGAATCAAACTATATATGAGTGTATAAGATGCTACTAAGCAAACTGCCATCTATGGTCCATAACTGATCCTTCTACCTTTTTAACTCAAAGACAATTATGTACACAGGAAATTTTAATTTTTCAAATGTACTCAGAAAAAATTATCAGAATTATCTTCCAGGTTAAAAAAAAGTGCAGTTACATCATCCATTTGCCACAAATGAACTCCCTACTTGCCTGGTGAGAGGCGTGAGCCCCTGCGGCGCTCTCTCACAGTCTCGTTGACTCTTGGTGTTTTCACTGCATGTTAAATGCCTGGTTTCAGTTTTACAATCAAAAGTAAAATAGCAATTTTCATTCTGGAAAATAATTGTTGGTCCCTGGTGGCAGATATTAGGAACTTCCACCCGATCTCGGGAAAGCATTCGGAGTTCTGCATCGTGCTTTCGATGAACATGTCCAGCAGTCTGTGCAGGGTTTATTGCTAGTCCGTTTGTTCGGCTGCAGCCTTTGTGACTCCCGGGAAAGGTACTTTCAGGGACACCCTGCACTGAGGGCCGCGACGGGACATTCTGAGGTCACCCTCGTGAGTGGCATTAGCTTTTTTTTTTTCTATTATCACTTATATTTTGATTTTTAATAGTTCAAAGTGGCATTAGCTTTTGAGCTGGGTGTTCAAGGAATTCTTCTTTTTCTTTTTTTTTTTTTTTTGGCACCGGGGAACGAACTTGGGTCTTTGTGCTTGCACAGCAGGCAGTGAAACCACTGAACTAAATCCCTGGCTTCTTTTTCTTTTTTTAAAGTAGAGTAACTTTACTCAGATGATATTTTGCATCCATTCTTCCTGGGACACTGCATCTGTTCTTTTATGAAGATTAATTTAATTCTTATCTATGTTAAACATGGATGCAGTGTAGAGTCACTACACCCTACTAACTTTTTCTTGTTTTGAGACAGGGTCTCTCTGTGTAGTTCAGCCTGACCTTGAACTCACTGTGTAGCTCAGGCTGGCCTCCAGCTCATGACGATCCTCCTGCCCCAGCTTCCTGAGTGTGGGGATTACAGGTGTGCGCCACCATGCCCAGCTCTACAAACATAATTTAAAATACCAGCCCTCTGCAGGCCTCTCACTGCTGTCTCCCAGGGCCAAGTACACAGGCGCTGCTTCTTCCCTTTCTTCCTGCTGGAATATGGGTGTGATGCCTAGAGCTGCAGCTACTATCTCATAACCATGAGGTATCAAGTATGAGGCAAAGACAGAGAATATCTCTGGTTCTGGAACCACCTCGCACCATTGAGCCTCTGAACTAACCCTAACAGCTGCCTACTTCAAGATTTGGCCCGAAGGGAGATATTGGGGATTGAACTCAAGACCTTCCCATTGAGCTACATCCCCAGCTCTTATTTATTATTTTGAGACAGACTCTCATTAAGTTGCCTAGGCTGGGTTCAAACTTGTGATCCTCCTGCTCAGCCTCCCAAGTGCTGGGATTGCAGGTCTGCACCACCATGTCTAGCTTGGGTTTGGTTTGAATGCATTGCTCTGAGGTACAACTCTGCAGGGGTGCACAAGTCGGGGCAGCTGGGACCCCAGGTGGCAACACACCCAGGTGCCCACCTGGGAAATCTGCCTGTAGGATGGAGGGAGGACCAGGCCCTAACCATATAGGGGGAAAAGATGTAACTCTCAAACCTGCTAGGTATCCAAAACGCGAGTTCGTGTTCTCTAAAATCAAAGAATGAGTTCTAGGAACAACGGAGATTAAGAGTAGGAACATTTATGTGTTTTGTTTGGGTTTTTTGGTACCCGGGATCGAACTCAGCACCTTGATCGAACTCAGCACCTTGCACTTGTGAGGCATGCGCCGGAACCTCTGAGCTAAATCCCTGCTTTATCTTTTTTTTGTGTGTGTTTTTTTTTTAGAGTAGGAACACTTATTGAGAGGAACATAGCTTCTGTCTAAGAGAGACAGAAGGGGGACTGGAAAGTGGGTTGCCTGCCCACCCCACGGTTCAAAGATGTTTTATACAGCAAAGCCACGTGGTGAGGCGGGTACAAAGTGGGACAAAACTGTAAGGCCCAATGGAAATTTACAAGTGGACGTGAGGTGGGACAAAACCATGACCAACCAATAAGATTACAAGTACTGTTGCACCCAGTGAGAAAGAACCAACCAGAGACCAATATTAAATCCACACAGGAGTTTATTACCAGCCGGGACCGAGCATCGGACTTCAGCCCAACTGGGGGAAGATTAACATATTTTATACACCTTTGAGGCCTACAGTTTCTAGGGCCCCCTAAGGGATAGAACTAGTAAAGCAATCAAAAGGTACAGAAGCAGAACGTCCTGCTGTTAGAACATTTATAAAACAATAGTTGATTAACTGTTATTTCTAAAGAGACTCTCCAAGGGGAGGAGGTTTTTAAGTTTCCTCCTTCTGAGTTCATCTAAAGGGCAGGCAGGTGGGTCAAGCAGCAATATGGAGTCTGTCTTGCTAACAAGGGTCCTTCAGTACAGTGACCCAGGTAATACTGATTAAATGGGGATCAAATGGGAAAACAAGTCACATACGAGAAGTTTCCCATTTGGAATATCAATCACTGCTATCTCTAGGGGAAGTAGAGCTCTTCTTCTTTTTTTTTTTTTTTTTTTTTTTTTTGGTACCGGGGATCAAAGTCTGATCCTTGCACTTGCGGGGCAGGAGGCAGAACCACTGAGCTAAATCCCCGGCCCACTTCTCTTCTCTTTATAATGCTAACCAGTTAATGTGCCTCAGTTGTCCTCCATGTTGGCTCCTCGCTGTGTTGGCTCCGTGAGGGTGGCTCCTGTCTAACTGCCTACAAGATAACTAATTAACTTACCTATGTACAATACTAAGGGCACTGAGGGCCCAAGTTTGTGCTGCATGTCCTTTTGTTCCTGAATAGCAGGGCCCGGGTGCTCCTCCGTGTGCCTACCTTAGTGCCTGTTGTCTCAACCTCCCTCCCCACACAGAACGAAGATTCTGTCCAGGGAAGGTTCTAGCCAAGTCTCGGGGCTCTGATGCCCCCACTCTGGGTGGCTCTTGTTCTCTGTAGGGGCTGCTGATCGCCTCAGGCTAGAGACCACTTCTCTGGCCGCGGGGTGTGGTGGCACGCATCTGCAATCTCTGCATTCTGGATGCTGAGGCAGGAGGATAGCCTCGAGTTCAAGGCCATCCTGGGGTACAGAAGGAGACCCTGTCACAAATAAAGAAACAAGTAAATAAATAAAATAGAAAAGGAGGGAGGGAAAACACACTGAGGGAGGGAGGAGAGCAGGGGCAGGGAGAGCTATCCCGAGGCTCTGGAATGTTGGGAAGGGTTAGGGTTCTGATGAACTTGACCTCGGTTGAATTTCACAGTCAAATTTCACAGGTAACCATGTGCAGTCAAATTCACAGATAAGTATTACAAAGATCAAAATGCAGCACAGCTGTCCCTGGAACCCTTGGGGAGGGCGGGGCCCCAGAACTCCCTGGCACTCAAGCCCCAGAGACAGGGCTGAGCCGTGCCGCAGAGCCCAGCAGTACCCCCAGACATCACAGCCCCTCCTATTCCTGGGGTGTCCGCGGTGTAGGGCGCTGGGCTGAACCCCGGCCTTGCTCTCAAGGGGCGGATACTCTTCCAGGGACCTGGCTGAGTCATTTCTAGATGACTGTGCTGCCTAATGCGATGGAAATGCTAGGGAACAGGAGTTCCTCAGGACTGTTCATGGGACCAGGACAGCAGGGGACATCTGCCCATGTGCACACACACGCAGTCTCTTTGCAAGTAGCTTTCAACTCCCAGCAACTGAATCCTGTGTGTCGGGGGAGGGGGGGCAGCTGCACACAGCTTCCAAACGCCTGAATTCCCGGGCTGGGGATGGCTCCCTGTGGCTGCAGGAAGGCTGTGGGGACAGCAGGGCAGGTGCGGGGTGCAGCTCCCACAGAGGTGAGTGCAGAGCCCTCCTGAACCCTTCCGTGGGCTCCCCAGGGTCCGGGTGCCATGTGCCCATGCTGATAGAGGGCACTGCTCTTCTGTTGAGGGCACAGAAGGAGCCCCCACCAGGGGAGCCAGCACCACTGTCCAGCACCAGGGAAGCCCTGGCACCACCTCCAGCCCATCAGCAAAACCACACCAAGTGCTTCCCCAGGAGCACGGATGGCAGAGCTCTGCTCCGAGAGGACAACATTTGGGAACTGAGAGAGGCCTTGGTCCCTCTGCTACCCGCTCCGGGGGGCCTCATCACCTGAGCCAGTGCCAGTCTGTGCCCAGAGCACTTCTGGTCAGCTGCAGCAGGTCCCCAGGAAGTGACTCAGCCTAGCAGGGGAGCCTGGTAAGGGATCAGAAGGGGGTCCAACAGGGGGCTCTGGGTGTGGGACTCCGTGGGAAAGGGGGCGGTGCCAGCCAGGCCAAGACTTGTGGGCCATTCAGACTTTAGCTTCTTCCTCTGCAGACCAGAAGGGCAATCCCTCCTGCAGGCTGGATGTGACTGGCTGGTTCCCCTGGGTCTTGCGGGAAGAGCTCTCCCTGCAGCCTCCTTCCTCCCCAGGCCAGGCTACCTCAGCTCTAACCAGATTATCGGGGCATCTGGCTGCTCTGCCCTCTCTGAGCCCTGTGTCCCCGTGACGCATGGTTGGGCTCCCCCGGCCTGACATGGTGGTTTTCTAAGAAGAAATGAGCATCAAAGCTGCACACCCTGCCATTTCCCACGTACCCTGGGGACTGGGCTCCAGGAAGACTCTGCTCCCAGGCCTGTGAGCCGCCGGCTCCCTGGAGACCACCCTGGAATTGCTAGCCAGGGGTGGCGGTCCCCACCCTAGGCCTGTCTGTGTTGTCCACCCAGAGCCATGAGGGGAGCTGGGCCGGAGTCACGAGCCCCTCTCTGGTTGCAGAACAGCTCTGAGGCCAGGGGTGGTGGTGCACACCTGTGATCCAAGCACTCTGGAAGGCTGAGGAAGGAGGATCAAAAGTTCAAGCCCAGGGCCGGGGATTTAGTACCGTGGTCCCACCACCTGCCCCGAAAGTGCAAAGTCCCAAGTCTGATCCCCGGTACCAAAACAAAAAGTTCAAGCCCAGCCTGGGCAATTTAGCAACACCCTGTCCGAAAATAAAAAACAAAACCAAGGCTGGAGGTGTAGCTCAGTGAGAAAGGCCTGGGTTCAGTCCCCGGTACCACAAAAATAAACAATAAAAATGAAAAGAAGAAAACGTAAGGTGTTTAAAACAGTGCCTGGCACAGTCAGACCTTCCTGTGTTATCTCTAAGCCTCAAACTCACAGGCTCCTCCTGCTTCAGGCTGAATGCTGGGAGTACAGGCCTGCCCTACCAGGCCAGGCAACTAAGTCTTTATTTCACTTTATGATGCGAAGTGTAGGGGAAGAGAGAGCCCAGCTCTCCAGGGTGAGCTGCCTGTGCAGTCTTTCTGTCTTCCATCTTCTTCCAGTTGGGCTCCTCGCTTGTCCTTATGTGAAAGCCTGAAAGCCCAGACATCTGGCTGTAAAATGCATTGACGGAAACAAAACACTTGCCCTGGTTTGAATATGCTTTGCTCCCCTGAAATGCACATGGAAATTGAGTCCCCACTGTGAGGTTGAAATTGGCCCCCTTGGGAGAGGGAGATGGGCAGGTTGGGTGAGCTCGGGAGGGGTAGGACCTCAGGGACCCTGGGAAGGAGAGGCGGGCAGGACGCACACATGCTCGCTTGGCTCTACTCTCCTCCCAGCATGAAGCCCAGCACCAGATGGGGCCCCTCAACCTCCCTCTTCCAAACCGTGAGCCAAAATAAACATGTTTTTCTTGTTCCTTACCTATTCTGGTATTGTGTTACTAGCAACAGGAAAAGACCTCGTACATTGTGGTTAAGGAATGCCATGGTGGTGAACAATCTAAAATCAGAAATCAGAAGGGCCGAGGATTTAGCTCAGTGGTGCCACCGCCTGTGTCGCAAGCGTAAGGTCCTGAGTTCAATCTCTGGTACCAAAAAAAAAAAAATCAGAGACCAGAGGCACAGTGCCTGCTGGCAAGTGTGAGGCCCTGAGTTTGAATCCTGGTACCAAAACATAAAATCAAATCAGAAAAGCAGCCTTTGCTGGAATTAGTAGTATCGGGAAGGAAAAAGGTCCCATCCTTGGCTGATTCTTTGGACACAGGGCCTCACTATGTATCACAGGCTGCCCTTGAACTCACTACATAGCCCAGGTTGGCCTAGAACTAGTGGCAATCCTCCTGCCTCAGCCTTCTGAGGGGTGAGATTACAGCTGTGCATCACCATGCCCAGCTCTGGGCATCTCTTAAACCCAGTGAAATTAGCTGGCTGTGGTGGCACATGCCCGTGATCCCAGCACTGGGGAGACTGATGCGGGAGGATCCCAAGTTCAAGTCCAGCTTGGGCAACTTAGTGAGAGTCTGCCTCAAAACAAAGGGATGGGGTTACAGCTCAGTTATAAAGTGCTTGCCTGACCTGTGTGAGGCCCTGGGTTCAACTGCAAAAAACAAAACAAAACAAAACAATCCAAAGATACAGAAAAGAACCACATATTTAGGAAAAGTGTCCTTAGGTGTCTGCTGATCTCTGGGTCCCACAGCATGGCCTCCGGACTCCATGTTGAAGGCCATTTCAGGGCTGTTCCCTCTGATTTTCCTCTGCTTTGCCCAGGGTCTGGAGCCACTGGATTCTTCTGTATGTCCGGTCTGGAGGCCGAGGGCTGCGACCTCCGTGGGTTTGTCCAGATGCCAAACCCAGCCTGTCCCTGGTGTGTCCTCATCAGTGTTCCTGTCACACCTACACAGGGCTGATCCTGCCACCTCCCCCCCTGTCTTCCATGGGGAGCTTTGCAAGTTGTATTTTCAGAACAGTGTCAGACGTTAGCTCTGGCTCAGGCTGCCTGAACAAAGTGCTCAGAAAGTGACCCTGCCTGTCTGTCCTGGGGTCACCAGTCCCACACCGAGGTATAAGCAGAGCTGGCTCCTGCTGAGGCCTCTTTTGCTCGTAGATGCCACCTTCTTCCTGTGTCCTTCTACTACCCTTTGCTGTGTGTCTGTCCTCTTGTCTTCTTTTGGGTACTGGGGATTGAACTCGGGACCTTGTGCTTGCAAGGCAGGCGGTGCCACCACTGAGCTAAATCCCCAGCCCCCTCCTGTCTTCTTTTTAGACAGTCTCACTGTGTAGTCCAGGCTGGACTCCAATTTGCAATCCTCCTGCCAGGGATTTAGCTCAGTGGTTCCGCCTCCTGCCTCGAAAGTGCAAGGTTCTGAGTTCGATCCCCAGTACCAAAAAAAAAAATGAGTTGCAATCCTCCTGCTTCAGCCTCCTGAGTGCTAGGATTACAGGGTGCACAACCACTCCTGGCTTAATCTCCTCTTCTTAGAAGGTCTCCAGCCATACTGCTATAGGGCCTATGATATAGGGATGATATATGGACCTTCAAATAATGTAAGGGAAATATTATAACTCCCAACCTGTTAGATGGCTGTTATGCCGAGCTCGTGTTCTCTAAAACTGAAGAATGAATTCTAGGAACAACCGTGGTTAACAGTAGGAAGTTGTTTTTTTTTTTTTTGGTACTGGGGATCGAACTCGGGTCCTTGGGCTTGTGCAGCAAACGACAAAAACCACTGAGCTAAATTCCCAGCCCAATAGTAGGAAGTTTTTATTGAGAGAAAGATAGCTTCTGTCTAAGAGAGACAGAAGTGATCCAGGACCTGGGATTCAGCTCAGTGGTTCCACCGCCTGCCCTGCAAGCACAAGGACCTGAGTTCGATCTCTGGTACCAAAAAAAAAGAAGTGGTTCTAAGTGTGTGGCTAGAGACCCCACTTCTCAAGGGGGTTTTATAGAGCAAAACCAATAGGTAAGGCAGGGGTACAAGGTGGGACAAAACTATAGTCAACTAATAAGGGTACAGGTATAGTCACTTAAGTAATACTGATCCAGTGGGAAATCACAAGGTGGGTATAAGGTGGGCAAAACTATGGTCAACCAATAGGATTACAACAAGTCTAGTGCGTTAGGTAATACTGATTAAATGGGGATCAGATGGGGAAGCAAGCAGACAAGGAATTGTCAAGGACGGAGACAGGTGGAGGGTCCCCGAAGTCCCTGGCCTAACGCCGCAGAAAGTTGTGGAAGGATCAGAGACCGAAAGCATAGAAGCAAAGTTATACTTTTATACAGCAAGCATGCAAGAGTATGGCTGCCTTCTCTCAGAGACAGGCAGGGGTGTCCGAAACGGACCCACCCTTGAAGGGGGCGCTCAGGATGCTGGTTTTATAGTAGTTGGGGCCTATCTTGGCTCCGGGCTGAGGGTGCCCTTACTCGATTGGTTAGTGATTAACTTGACTCCTTACTAGGGACAACAGGGAAGGGTCTTTTCAGGGGGCTTTTACATGTTAGGGCCATGGTTTTTTCCTTTTGATTTTAGCAAACCAAGCTTTGGAGGGTACAGCATGAAGAGGAGGTGCAGCCACAGTCTGTCCGCTTTTCATGGGTGGTTAACCCTGTTCTGCCAGCTCTCTGAACTCCTTCAGCAGGGGGGAGGGTGTCCCTCATCTCTCCCTGCCTACAAGTCTCTATCCCAACAGAAGGAACCGGAACCTTTCCTGGAAGGGGTGGGTCAGGAGGTCTTGGTCCCCACCCAGGTGGTTGATGCCTATTTAGAATATCAGTGGCTACAGTTTATCCCTGGGGAAGTAGGTGTCTCTTTGACTTGAGGCCTGGCCTTGGACAAATGTGGCTCCGCCTCCACCTCCAGCCACAGTACATCTGTGTCCTTATCATGGGCCCAGCCCTGTCTGGCTGCCTAGAATATTTCTACCTAATTTAGCTCCTTACAGTAATCTGCACTGGGGCCCATGCACATGACCCTGTGTGCCTCAGTTACCTCTTTAACTCCAACACAGGCACATTCTGAGGCACCGGGAAGCAGGTTTTTTCCAAGCCAGGCGTGGTGGTGGTGCACGTCTATATTCTAGCACTCAGGAGGCTGAGGCAGGAGGCTCGCCATGAGTTTGAGGCCAGCCTAGACGACATAATGAGACCCTGTCTCAAAAAAACAAAAAAAATTAATCATTTTATGTTGAAAAGAATTTTTCTTTTTGCTTTTTCTGTGGATTTACTCACGGTCTTAAGTCTGTGATCCTGAGGGCTCCTCATCCACCTCCCCCATAGTGAGACCAGCAGCCAAAAGGGAAGATCAGTGGGTTAGGGCCCGAATAAACTCATGAAATACACGGAGCAAAGTAAAGACCAGGACCTAGATGAGCTAAAGATTGGGCTTGAGAAAAGTCCCCAAGGAAACAGAAAAGCCCTGAAGGCTGGAACTCGAGTCTCCAATTCTCACGTCCTGCACTCTTCTGAAGCACAGGCCACAGGCCTCAGAAAAGCCTCTGCTTCATCCCTCTGGGGCTCTTCCGGAAAGCAGCAAGCGGGAGCTTCCTCTTTGCTCTTAGACCACCCCTGTCCCCACTGCGCCTGTCCTGTCCCCTCCGACAGAAGGAGGGAGCAGGTTACAAAGGCATCTGCAGAGGACTTTAGGGCTAAGTTCGTGGTACAGGAGGTGCCAGGAAAAGCTTCACCCTGGAGCCCTGGGGAGGACACGCCATCTGGAAGTGAGCTCCTGGCCACTCATGCAAGGTCACATGTGGCCTCAAGCTCCAGCCAGGGCTATGTGGATCCCATAAAGCCAGTGGGCTCTTCAAAGTCAGCCTCCCACCTCGGCAGAACCCACTGTCCTTCCTGTTCCTGCAGCCCATGGCCTCTGCTGGCTGGAACACAGGGGCTCCCCTGTGCTCTGTGTTTATGACATCAGCCCTCTTTGTGGGACCAGTGGGACCACAGGGCTCCTTGTGCCTGCCAGAATCACCCTCAAGCTGGGCACTTTAGTTCTGGGTGTGGGGATAAAATGCTACCCCAAATACTAAAGGTAATGCAGATGCCACACTTGTCAAGTCCGGTAGATGATAAAAAAATGCACACAAAGAGGGAACCACCAGGAAGGGCTCTTCTCTGTCCTATGTTGCACATTTGTGACATGTAGGTGACAGATGGGTTTGTTCTTTTCTCTATCAATGCTACTCCCTAGAGGGCCCTCCCTAAAGAAGGGACAACCCAACTCACCTTGGAGAAAGTGTCTTCTGGGTATGGGGGGAAATGCACAGTTGCTGGGCTTAGCAATTGGGAGGCTGAAGCAGGAGGAGTTTGAGGCTAGCCAAGGCTAGATCTTGTTTCCAATTAAGAAAAAAAAGAAAGAAAAAATCTATTGTGGTTTCTGCCATCACATTATTTTGGTGTACTGAGTAAGTGTAAGCCCCCTAAAAGAGAAGGCTAGAGCCAGGCATGGTGGTTCATGTTGTAATCCCAGCATTTGGGAGGCTGAGGGAGGACTGGAAGTTCAAACCCACCCTAACTGGACAAAGTAGCAAGATCCTGTCTCAAAGTAAAAAATAAAAAGGGCTGGAGATTAGCTCAGTGGCACCGTGCCTGCCAAGCAAGCGCAAGGTGCCTGATTCCGGGTACCAAAAAGGAAACGAAAAAACCCCTGGGGATTTAGCTCAGGCAAAGGCCCTAGGTTCAATCTCCAGTACTGAAAAAAAAAAGAAAACAAAAACACCTAAAAAAGAGGGAATGCAAGAAGACTAGGGTGTGGTGGGGTGAACACAGGCTTTGGCCCTCAAAGATTCTGAGTTCACCTCCACAGGCCACCCACGCCCCCAACCCCCAGCATGCCTGCTGAGCTGAGGATGGGAACACTGCAGGCCTCAGGGTTGCAGAGCCTCGGGCTCCTGCTCTGGCCTCTAAACCTTCCCTTCTTTCCCCGAATAGTCACTGACATGAATCCAAGTCCCTCGGCTGCCTTGTGTCCCCAGCACCCTGCGCTTGTCTAGGAGAGCTGCTGTCCCCCAAGAAACACCGGGAGACCAGCCTGGTGGTGGCTTCGTGGTGACCCCTGCAAGACCAGTCCTGCCGTTCCCAACTTGGATTGGGGTTGTGGGACAGGGAGGGTGCTCAGCTCCTGGCCTGGGAGGAAAGGAGAACAAAAGCTTCACATAGATTAACAAGCTTCACACGGTACGGCTGCATCACACCCTGAACACAATCCCCCGACTGTGGCTGTGGGCTTGACCGTTCCCCAAGAGCTCCGAACCATGGCCCTGGGCTGGAGCCAGCGTCGCCTGGCCCAAGTTTGGGAGATGAGCAGCAGGGAGGGGCAGGGTGGCCAAGGCAGACCCTGGGCATGGTCCCAGGGCCATTTGTGTGGCCATGGGCACTGTTCCTTCAGAGGCGGCAGGCTCAGTGTCCACATGGATGCCACCATCCCATCAGGCCCTAGGAACACTGCGAAGCTGACTCCAGAGAATCCCTGCACCCACACCAGGACCAGCCATGCTTCGCCAGCCCACGGCACACCCTCTCCCCCGACTGTCACAATGGCGTGGCCACACAGGAGGACCAGGATGGTGACAGTGAGGGAGTGGCCAGTGGCAGTGATGGTCCAGATGCAGGGCCAGTGCTCACCAGGGCCTTCCTGCCACCCCCATGCCACCTCTGTGTTGTGTGCAGAAGGAGACGAGACCAATTACAGCCAGGAGGAAGGTGGTGGTGGAGAGAGGAGGTGGGAGTGCAGCGGGGAGGTCACAGCAAGAAGGGTGGGGTGGGGACCTGGGCACTGATGGGCCCTGCACGACCCTTTGGCGGGACAGATGGTAGATGAGGTGTCACTGGGTTCTGGGTGCTGGAGTCTCCTTCTAGAGGTGCTTTCTACGTTTTTGGTTTTTGTTATGTTTTGTTTCTTTGGTACTGGGGATTGAACTCAGGACCTTATGCTTTTGAGGCAGGTGGCAGAACCACTGAGCTAAATCCCCGGCCCTCTTTCTAGGTTCTTTCTGTCCTGAGCAAAGAATTGGGTAAGACCAGTGCAAACCACAGCGAGGCTTTACATACGGCAGGCTCTACAGAGCGAGTTTGGGCTAATAGAAGTAGAGAAGAAATGCACTCTACAGCACGACTGAATGACCGACTGGAAGAGAGAGCACAGGAGAGGGTAGCACAGGGGCCACCAGCCTTTGACTCTCCCACTCCTCAGGCTACCTCGGGTCTGGGCTGTCCCATCCCAAACCCTCTTGAGTTCTCGAGAGAAGTCCCCACACAGGGCTTTGGGAGCCGTTCTGCGCATTCCTGGGACTTTGCAGTCCCTTTAACAGGTCACACCGACTTCCCCAGCCAGCTCTGCCACGTCCTGGTCTCCTGCCTCATTTCCCCCTGACAGACACAAATCTAGTTCTTCATGAGCTGCTGAGGGAGCAGAGATCTCTGTCTTCCACACTTGATCTTAGCCAAAAGGCCGAGAAGCGATCTCTGTCTTCCTATAGCTACTTCTGCTGAAAGGGGCTGTAGGCCTTTCCTCCTGGGGGTTATGTGCTCTCCAACTACCTTGGGGAGTTGTGGCTCTCTGGCGGTGCTGAAGGAAAAAACTCTGGAAAGACAATGAGAAAAGAGTTCGTGGCTGTTGAGCTGTGTGTCTGATGGGAGAAAGAAGGTAACTTTGGGGCTAGGGATTTAGCTCAGTGGTTCTGCCACCTGCCTGGGAAGTGCAAGGACCTGAGTTTGGTCCCTGGTACCAAAAGAGAAAAAAAAAAGAAGGTAACTTTGCTATTAGGTTGGGGATGTAGCACCCAGATATGAGAAGGAGCAGGTCACATTTCCACACTTCCTGTGAAGGAGAATATATGGCAAAGAGGGATGGTAGATAAATTATCAAGAGCCTGAGAGCCGTAGCTTTAGCAAGATTACGCACATATGACTCTAATTAAAAACAAGCCTCAAGACAGGTGCCCATTTACCTCCTTGTAGCAGTAGTTAGTCTTACTTTTTGAGGAGGAGGAGGAGAGGAGCTGCTTTCTTCTCTGGGTGATCTTTGTCTTCACACAGTTCATGTGGGGCTGGGTTTATCCTAGCAAGGTGAATCCAACTTTCTTTCTCCACCACCGTGACTGCAGTAGGTGTTACAGGGATCACTGAAAAAAGGCACTTCCATTTTGGTATTAATTGGTCTCAGGAGTCTCTTCTTTTCAAGCTTTAATGAGCACTTGGTTTCCAGGGCAGACACAAGGTGGCCCCCTGGGCCAGCTGGCAGGACTCTGTTCCCATACATTTGGATAGCCTGTTGTACAGGACCTGGATTAATAAGCTATTGTAAGAGTCCGGCGGTGTGTGGGTCCACTACCCTGTCAGAAGATAGAAAAGGCCTCCCATATAACATCTCTAATGGACTGATATTTAGCTTAGTGTCTGGGGTGTTTGAATCCTGAGGGCTACTGGCAATAATTGGAGCCAGGGGCCGGGGATTTAGCTCAGTGGTACCACACCTGCCTCAAAAGCTCAAGGTCTTGAGTTCAATCTCTGGTACAAAATGATAATAATTGGAGGTAGGACTCAGACATTTCTTGGCAAAGTTTTGCCAGAGTTGGCTTTAGGGTCTGGTTGGCTTTCTCCATCTTTCCAGAAGACTGAGATCTCCATGTAGAATTGGAGATGGAACTTTATTCCTAAACCCTTTGCCACCCCCTGAGTTGGGAGGTAAAACAAGGCTCATTGTCACTCTGAAGGGACTGGGGTAGTCCAAACCGGGAGATGATTTCTTTGAGGAGCACCCTGACTACTTCTGTATCCTTTTCTGAACAGATAGGGAGGGCCTCAAATCCAGCCTATAAAGGTGTCAATTAGGACCAATATCTGTTTGAATCTCCAGATGGTGGCAAGTGGGCAAATTCTAATTGCCAGTCCTCTCCAGGGTGTGTCCCTCTCCTCTGTACTGGTTCTAACAAAGGAGGCGGTTTGGGCTTGCCTGGGTTACTGGAAGCACAGAGTGGGGAAAGCTTTGCAGACGTGTCAGGTGGTCGCAGCTAATTCTAGTCCTGTGAAAATTCAAGAGACCCATTTCCACTATAGGGTTTTTATAGCTTGTCACTGGATCCCTTGAGGAAGGACTAGAATGGTTCCTTAGGAAATGGGAATAAGGCTAAGGTCTCAAGGGGCTGCAAGGCTGCCCTTCTTGCCTTCGTATCAGCCCTTTGATTTCCCAAGGAGATCTCAGACATGGGTCTCTTTGGTGTCACTTGCAATGAATGCCAGCAACCTGCTTGGGAAGATGGACTGGTTCGAGGAGTTGTAGAATTTCCTGCTTGTGATTATAGACAACTGCTTATTGATCAACAAGTCTCTTTTTCCAGATTACCACATGGGTGTGCACCACTAAAAAGGCCTATTTGGAGTCTGCATAGATAGCTTTTTTTTTTGGTACCAGGTCTCCAACTTGGAACCTTGCACTTGCGAGGCAGGCGCCAGAACCACTGAACTAAATCCCTGGCCCTGCATAGATAACTTTTTGCCTTTTCCTGATATCAGTCAAGTAAAGTCTGTGCACTCTGCTTTTTTAGCAGAGGTGTGGGGGGGTGGTCTACTGGGAGCTGACAACCACATAACCTGCCTTTTCAGGTCCTTCCTGGACAAAGCTATTCCCATCAGTGGACCACACCTCTGCAGGGCCTTGGAGGGGCAGTCACTGATGTCCTGCCTGCTTGCAAAGTCTGACAGATCACATGTTCACAAGAATGGCTAACCTCTGAGCCTGCAGGCATCAAAGAAGGAGGATTGTAGTACCTATGCTGCTGAAGTGAGCAAAAAGAAGCAGGATTCAGTGAGCACACGTTTTTGTAGTAACCTCAGGTGTCTAGAAGCATGGCCTAGCATAGTCCCAATGAGTAAAATCCACTTTGGCCTTTGCCAGAATTGGAGAGTTGCCTCTAATTTTGCTAGTAAATATCTTCCTAGTAAGGAAGTTAAATACAGTGGGACAATTTTTAAAAATTGTTTTAAATTTTGAGACAGGGTCTCACTATGTAGTCCAGGCTGGCCTTGAACTAACTGTGTAACTTAGGCTGACCTCAAACTTGGAATGATTCTCCTGCCTCAGCCTTCTGAGTGCTGGGATTGCAGGTGTGCGCCACCATGTCTGGCCAGACAGCCATGACTTCGGTCTTTTTTCTCGGCCCTTCTCTTTCATCCTTATCTAGATCCTGAGTTTTGAACATAGAATAGGCCATGTTCAGCAATAGGGTCATCGAGGCCTGGAGGCCCCACCTGGAAATCTACTAGGGTCCTTTGAACATACTGCGTCTCTCTGGGGTGCTAGAAAACAAGTGGGGGAAAACCCATGTCCCCCTGAGAAACAGTTGGGCGTCTGAGGACAGGATCTTCAATGACATCAATTCCCTCCTCCTCAGAGGCCTCTTATGTACCATGGTTCTTGGGCCTGTCCAGAGACAAAGAACCATAAAAGCCTGAACGTAAGGGATTTCACAGCACTTTCCTTGCCTTTTGCAAAAAACTTCAACTGAAAAGTACTACTATAATTCAGATTGCCATTCTGCATTCATCTTTTGCCACTTTCTAGTTCATACTGGAGAGAGAACAGGATTGAGGCCAAACCTCTTTTGACTAGGGACCTCTGCTCAAAAAGCAGAGCTCTTAGCTCTTACTTGGCTATTGATATTAAGAAAAGGGAGGGCTGGGGATGTAGCTCAGTGGTGCCATGCGTGGCTGGCAAGCAGAAGGTCCTGAGTTTGATTCCTGGTACTGGAAAAAAAGAAAAAGGCAAAAAGCTAAATATCTGTGCAGACTCTTTATGGTGCTACACTCCCATGCAGCAATTTGGAAAGAGATTTGCTGACTAAGAAGCAATCATCTATAAAACAAGCAGGAACTTCTACAACTCCTTAAGGCAGTCTATCTCCCCAAGCAGGTCACTGTCATTTGTTGCAAGGGACACCAAAGAGAGACATGGCTAAAGTCTCTTTGGGAAATCAAAAGACCAATACGAAGGCAAGAAGGGCAGCCTTGCAGCCCCTCAAGACCTTAGCCTTATTCCCCGTGCCTGAGGAACCATCCCAACAGGTGCTTCCTTAAGCAACACAGTGAAAGCTGTAAAAACCCTAGACGGGCTGGGGATTTAGCTCAGTGGTGCTTCTGCCTGCCTTGAAAGCATAAGGTCCCGACTTCGATCCCTGGTAGCAAACAAACAAAAAACCCTACCTGGGAGAAGGTCACTAGAATTTTCACAGGACTAGGAAGAAAGCTATTCTTGAGAACCTCTGGAAGACCTGAGGCTCCTTTTCAGAAAGCGAGACTCCAGCACCACTCCAGGTGCAGATAAGCAGTCACTAATCACCCTAATTCACGGCAGCTTACATGGGCACCTGTGTCGAGGCTCCTGTTTGTTTTTTTTTTTATCTTTTATTTATTTATTTAATTTATTTTTTGGGTACTGGGGATTGAACTCAGGTCCTTGCGCTCCCCAGGCAGGTGGCAGAACCACTAAGCTAAATCCCCACCCCACTCCTGTTTTGTTTTGTTTTTTTGGTACTGGGGATTGAACTCGGGTCCTTGCACTTGCGCAGCAGGTGGTGAAACCACTGAGCTAAGTCCCTGGCTCCCCCTCTTGTTTTTTTTTTTTTTTTTTTTTGGTACCAGGGATCGAACTCAGGTCCTTGCACTTTCGAGGCAGATGGCAGAACCACTGAGCTAAATCCCCGCCCCCCCCTCCTGTTTTTAATTAGAGTCATATGTGCGTAATCTTGCTAAAGCTACGGCTCTCAGGCTCTTGATAATTTATCTACCATCCCTCTTTGCCATATATTCTCCTTCACAGGAAGTGTGGAAATGTGACCTGCTCCTTCTCATATCTGGGTGCTACATCCCCAACCTAATAGCAAAGTTACCTTCTTTTTTTTTTCTCTTTTGGTACCAGGGACCAAACTCAGGTCCTTGCACTTCCCAGGCAGGTGGCAGAACCACTGAGCTAAATCCCTAGCCCCAAAGTTACCTTCTTTCTCCCATCAGACACACAGCTCAACAGCCACGAACTCTTTTTTCATTGTCTTTCCAGAGTTTTTTCCTTCAGCACCGCCAGAGAGCCACAACTCCCCAAGGTAGTTGGAGAGCACATAACCCCCAGGAGGAAAGGCCTACAGCCCCTTTCAGCAGAAGTAGCTATAGGAAGACAGAGATCGCTTCTCGGCCTTTTGGCTAAGATCAAGTGTGGAAGACAGAGATCTCTGCTCCCTCAGCAGCTCATGAAGAACTAGATTTGTGTCTGTCAGGGGGAAATGAGGCAGGAGACCAGGACGTGGCAGAGCTGGCTGGGGAAGTCGGTGTGACCTGTTAAAGGGACTGCAAAGTCCCAGGAATGCGCAGAACGGCTCCCAAAGCCCTGTGTGGGGACTTCTCTCGAGAACTCAAGAGGGTTTGGGATGGGACAGCCCAGACCCGAGGTAGCCTGAGGAGTGGGAGAGTCAAAGGCTGGTGGCCCCTGTGCTACCCTCTCCTGTGCTCTCTCTTCCAGTCGGTCATTCAGTCGTGCTGTAGAGTGCATTTCTTCTCTACTTCTATTAGCCCAAACTCGCTCTGTAGAGCCTGCCGTATGTAAAGCCTCGCTGTGGTTTGCACTGGTCTTACCCAATTCTTTGCTCAGGACAGAAAGAACCTAGAAACCACTTCTGGACAGAGACCCCAGAACCCCAGAGCCTGGTAACAAGAGGACCTGCAGAGAGGGGCTGAGGACAGGGTCTGCCCAGTTTGTGATCTTTGGACACTGTCTGGGTGGAAGTGTGGCCCCTGCCCTGCCACATTGGTATGTGGAAGCCCAACCTGTGATGCAGATGGGCTGAAGTGAGTGGTTAGGCTAAATGAGGTCGCCAGCGGGCGCTGATTTCATGGGGTTCAGCATGCACAAGCCTGGGGTTCCATGCCAGCACCAAAAGAGCACAACTATGTGAGGGAGAGAACAAGGAGCCTTCCCTTTGCCACCCGAGGATGGGGACAGGGTCCATGGGCGGGGTCGGGGGAGAGGCCTCACCAGGAATCCACCCGACGGCCCAGGGCCTAGACTTCAGCCTCCAGAATGGTGACAAGATAAACATCTGCTGTCACAGCCCTGACCCCCTCGCCCTCATCTTCTACGAGGTCACCCGCTTCCCACTGGGCTACGGACAGCACTCCAGGCCCACATATACGGGCAATTACACCCTGATTCAACTGTGCATCGATGGTACACCAGGGGCCCTGTTTCATGACTTATTCAAAGGTTTTTGAAAAACAAACAAACGAATTGCAGGCAACACCATCTGCTGCAACTGTTTATTATATTTAGAAGTCTACAAATTTGAGCTGTTAAGAATCACAAAATATTCATTTGAAATCACATTTTTTGATTCATCAAATTTCAAATATATTTTACTGTGTTGAACAATGTATTCTAGTGCTGTCTAAAACACAGCCAAATTATTTGTCTTTATTGATTTACACATTTCTGTAACTTTTTGAAAACCAAGATTAAGATAAAAAAGAATAAAACCACCCAATTACAATTTTCCCATACTCTGAATTATTTCCTACAGCTGTTTCCTTTTTTCTTATTCAATCTTAATTCTGTGCAGGGTACTGACTTGACACACTTACGGAGTTCTCGGCTTGCATTTTTCATAGATTCAAGCAGCAACACCTTGGCAGTATGGAAGGCTAGGTTTGTTAAAAGCACTCATTGGAAAATATTTTTAAATTTATAGAGCATACAAAATAATTTACAAAGAGACAGATGACTTTAAACATTATTTTGAAATCACCTTGATCTGTGGAAATCTGTCTAAGACATTTGTCGTCTGTTGTTTTTATCCCTCGGCCCCCTTTCTATGCGAAGTGGGTGTTGTGAGGTTTCTCAGGCCGACGTGGTATTCGCTGGCCCTGGGGGTCCTAGGCCCATGGTCCCCAGAGGGCTCTGCTCCCCACATAGGCTGCCAGTCTGGGAGTGGAGAGCGGTGGCTGGAGCTGAAGACTCCAGGGATAAAGCAAGAGTGGGGCACAGCAAAAACAGGGCAGCCACAAGAACTGACGCCAAGCAGAAATAACCGTAAAGCTTTTACTATATCTCAGAAGAAACACTAAAGCAGAGGAGTGCATATACCATGTGGAAAGGTGGCCAAAGTGCATGATGGTCTGTGCGTGGTCCCAGTGCCGTGCGTGGTCCCCAGCCATGGGGAGAGGAGCTTCTCAGGAAAGGGACTAAGAACCATAGCGATCCTAGAGAGAGAAGCAAGACCCAGGTTCACCAGGGATGCTGGGGTCAGCCTGGCACCACCAATGTTGTGTCCCCAAAGCTGCCATGGCAGGGCTCCTGCGGGTCCGGAGACACTGCAGGTCACCAGAGCAGGCATCACCAGCTCCCCACAGCCAAGCTCCCTGCCTCCCTGCTGGGGCTCTGCAAACCCAGCAGGTTCACATCTTGCCCAGGGTGAGCTGTGAGGGAACACTGGACTAGGCGGCTGTGAGGCATGGGGTCGCATCAGGGGCAGGAACCCTAATGCTGGCCGGCTGCTGCAGCTGCACAGCGCCTCGGCCTCTGCACCCCCACCTCCTCACTTGTGCCACAGGGCATGGGGGCGGTCACTGTGGAAAGGGTCACAAGGCAAGGTCTCCACCCTCCGGGAGGGCCACCATGGTACAGCTGCCTGAGGAGTGGGAGGAAGCAGGTAGAAATGGTGGAGTGCATTCTCCTTGGGTGCCACACGCTCTTCACACTGCTCTGGTTTGTGTCAAAGATGTCCCCGAAGGCTCCTGTGCCGGGGTGGGCTTTGGAGGGGGCCTGGATGGTGGGACACTAACTGCATGAATGCCTGCGCCCACCAGTGAGTCCAGAGCCGAATGGGCGGTGAGGTGGAGGATGTGGGTCACAGGGGCATAACCTGGGAGGGTGCACTCGGTCCCCAGCATCCCCTGTGTCCTCTGCCTCGCCCTCCATATGTGACGCTCTCCTGGCCACAGGCCTGAAGCAGTGCAGCAGCGGACCATGGACTGAAGCTAAGACTCAAGACAGCTCTCCCACCGAGAGGGGCTTATGACAGTGTCTGTCACCATGTCTCCTGCCACGGCGACAGCACCACCTGCTTGGGGATCAGGAGCCTGCTTGGGGGCACTAGAGGCAACACGAATCAGCCCAGCCCCCAGAGCCGTGTTTTAGGTTAATGGGATCCTTCTAAAATAACCAGGAGCCAACAAGAGGGTCCAAGAAACAAGCCTTTCCCAAATCTGAGGTGGCCTGTGTTGTGACACATGGTCAGCTTCATCTGGACCTCACTTACAAGACTGAAGACCTAACATCAATGTGTGAACAGTTAAGTAAACTAGATGCATTTTTCACTCAGCAGAATACGGATTCTAGAGAATCAATTCATCCTTCTTTCTTTTTTTGGTACTGGGGATTAAACCCAAGCCTTCACACTGAGCTACACCCCCCTTGCCTTTTTTCATTTTTCATTTATCCAAAGTCTTGCTGTTGCTTAGTTGCTCAGGCTGGCCTTGAACTTGGGACCTTCCTGCCTCAGCCTCCCAGAGTGTTAGGATCACAGGCTTGTGCTACCACACAGAGCTTCTTTCCTTTCCTTTTTTTTTCCCTTTTTTTGAACCGGGGATTGAACTCAGGACCTTGCGCTTGCCAGGCAGGCGTAGCACCACTGAGCTAAATCCCCAGCCCAAAGTCTAAGTACCAAATTTTTTTTCCAGTACTGGAAATCGAATTCAGGGCCTTGCACTTAAGAGGCAGGCACAGCACCACTGAGCTAAATCCCCAGCCCTACTTTTCTTTCTTTTTTGAAACAGGTTCTTGTTATATCATTCAGGCTGGCCTGGAATGCACGAGCCTCTTGCCTCAGACTTCCAAGTTAATTACATAGAAATGCACAGGACACCATGGAGAAAAGTAGGATACAAAACCATGCAGAGAAATTATACATAAAAATCTAGAGCTAATGGAATATGAGAAAATGAAAAAATGGAAACAAAGTCTTTGTAAATAGGGAGGGATGGAGGGGTTGAAGGGAGGGCAGAGGAAGGGGGAAAAATAAGAACCAAGAGAGATTATGTAAAGGTGCAAATCTCCAATGATGAATGTCATTATATTGTACACCTAAAATGTACCAATAAAAGGATAAAAAAAAATCTAGAACTAAAAGAAAATGTACTAAAATATTAACAGAAGTTAACCCTGAGCAAGGGGACTGTAGATCATTTTAATTTTTCTTCTTACTCATTCTCTGTTCCAATCTAGGAAAAATTAGATAATTATCATGACAGTTCCTGTGATCATTCTCCTAGTCATAAATGAGAAAACATTGCACAAATAAGAAATGGTAATTTCTGGTTCTCCCGGAGTCCTGGTTACACTGCAGCCAACATCCCAGCCAATTATACACAGTCTAATAGTGTGCCCAGTGGCTTGCCCTGCCACACCGCGCATGCTCCGTCCCAGCACTGACCTGGATGGAGGTCACGACCCCATTGGCAAACACTGAGAGCTTCCCGGCCACCGACCGCACGCCCTGCTTGAACTGCGCCATGTCAGGGGCGTTGGGCAGCACGCTGGACAGGGTGTAGTTGCCTGCACACAGATCACAGCTGGTGTCCATAGCTGCCCTCTTTCCCCCAAGCAGCACCTCTGACGGAGGCAGCCCCACCCAAAGCTCCAACAGCCGCCAGGCAGGGGGACGCAGCACTGTGGCCACCTGGCCCTGGCCCCAGGATGTCACAGGTGCTGACAAAGGGCTGCAGCTCCTGCACTGGCCAGGGGGCAGGCTGCCAGGGTCAGACAACACCTCGTTCATTCACTCCCAGCTCTTCATTCATTCAACAAACACTTGCTGAGGGCTTCCTTTCCAGGCTCCTTCGGGTACCAAGACAGAGGAAAGAGAAGGGATAGGTCCCACCCGGAAAGAACTCCTGGTCCAGTCAGGGGAGCTGGTCACACACCAGGCACGGTGTGCAGAGGGACCTAGTGAGGCCACCCTGTCCAGTGAACGAGGCCCAGGAAACCCTGGAGGCTGCGGCTGGATGGGGCACGAGTGGGAAGTGATAGAAATGAGGCAGGAAGGTGGGGTGGGGGCACCAGGCCACACAAGGTGTGACCACAGCACAGGTGGATGGGAAAAGGTGGCAGGGCCACAGGGGCCCTGCAGGACAGATGCACATGCAAGGGCACGGGGAGCCTGGAAAATGGGCTTCTAATGTGGTATCAGACACCAGTGCCCCTGATGCTGAGACAAATCAAGAGACAGGGCTTCTGAGATGACAAGAACAGCTTCCAGAGGAGGGACAGAATGTACTGTGGCAGCCACAGCTCCGAGGCAGCTGGTGGCCAGCGATGTGGTGGCCTTAGCAGACTCTCGGGATGAGGATCCCAGCTGTGAGTGTGACAAACCCATGGCCATGATGCAGCCCCAACCCCGAGTGCAGAAAGGAGCCTCACCTGCCGGGCGCTTCGGCTGCTCCTCGAACAGGTCGGCCGAGCTGATGGCGGAGCTGGCTGAGAGTCGTTCCAGGCGGGCCCGAGTCTCATACTGGGGAGACAAGGACAGATGTTAGGCTCCTACCGTCACAGCACTTTCAAAGAATGATGACTTTGGCCTCCAGACTCTGTCTCACCGGTCACAGTGTCATTGCCAGGCTGGGCCCTGGGGACCATGCAGAGCCTACATTCTGACGGGGAGGCAGGTCACAGGCATACAGATCAACAAATGACATCACAGCCACTATGCTCACCGAGGGCCGGCCAGAGCGAGGGAGAGCATACTCTCTTGTGTGCGGCTCTCAGCTAAGGCCCCCCCTAGACCTGTCTCCCAGTGCCTGTCACACCATCTGGAAGCAGCTCGGCGCCATCAGCTGTGATCTGCACCTGTGTGGCTGGGGCTGCGGGGCTGGACCCCAGAGCCCCACACAGGCTAGGCAAGTGCCCTACCACCAATTACGGATTGGTTGACTGGCTGCAGTACTGGAGATTGAACCCAGGACTTCTAAACTGAGCTACATCCTCAACCCTTTACTTGCGACCCTCCTCCTGGGATTATAAGCACGCAGCATCACACCTGGACCAACTTTAAAACAAAGGGAAGGGGCCGGGGATTTAGCTCAGCGGTTCTGGTGCCTGCCTCACAAGCACAAGGTCGAGTTTGATCCCTGGTACCAAAAAAAAAAAAAGAGAGAGAGAAAACAAAAGGGATTTGAGGGGCTGGAGGAATAGCCAACAGGCCACTGTGCTCTCGAATTGATAGTGCTGCTGCAAAATAAAATCAGCACACTTAGGAAAAAATTCCCCATGGGGCCAAGAAGCCTCGGACTAACAAGGCCCTATAGGAGCCAGGCACGGCTGATGTGCCTGGCAGAATCTGAGGGAAACGAACCCTGCCAAGCCCATGTGGGTGTCCCAGCTGGCCAAGACCCACATGATGAGCTCCTCAGGGATCTAAGAGGCAGCAGCCTGAGAGGAACACATTCACCTCCCAGAAACACCTGTGTTCTTCATTTAACCCCGGTTAGAAAATATCCAGTCAAGTAGGGCCGCATCAAGCAGCACTGGAAACGTATCCAAAAGCTCTCACCAAATGGCTACTCCAAGGCCCAGAGAGGGAGAGTGAAAGGAGGCGTGGGGCCCGCAACCCGGCAGCAGGGAGGGTGACCGCCCCGCCCAGAGAGGGCACCTCCTCCCTGGGTCCGGGCCCTCCCTGCCCTAAGGGAACCTAAGGGTGCCCATGACTCTGGAGCCTTACATCGGCTTGGGCTTGCCTTCCGAAGTACATGTCTGAAGAAATGGCCTTGGCGTCGCCGAACTTCTTCTGGGCCTCGTCCGTGCTCTCTGAGGGCGCAGAGTCCGGCTTGCGGCGAGCGGCAGGTCTGCAACGAAGGAACCCAAGCAGGTCACACTAACTGGCCGAGGCCCACGCATTTCCCATTCATCCTGTATCCATCAGTTTAGGGTTGGAAGAGGCAGAAGCGGTAATTTTGTAAAAAGATTTGGGTCATTTGGAAAAGCCTGACCATTCTGGGAAGCAGAGCCTAAGCACCCAAGGCTCCGACACTGCAGGGCGCTCCGCCCTGTTCGGTGGGGCTGTCCTTTCACACCTGTGCAACTGCCCAGTGCAGAACTGGCTGAGCACGAAGGCGCTGCGTGTGGGGTGGGACGGCACTGCTCTGCATTATGCACCTGTCAGGGGCCCCAGCATCCCCGGTTTGGGGACAGGCTCAGGTCTCGAGGTCCAAGATCGGAGCCTGTCCCCACACACACTTGTGTCCCTGGTGTGGACAGCACTCTATGCTCTCCTTCCTGCACAATCACTGAAACCGGCGAGTCCTGCAACAGGTGAGCAGACAAACCGACCCAGGGGAACTGGACACAGAAGGGAGGCCCGGGCAGATGTGCTCAGAAGAGCCACTGAGGCAGACTGGGACAGCCAGGGGCTGGTGACCGCATTCACGTGATATCCTGAGGAGGGCTCAGAAACAGACCCGCGGTGGGCAGGGCTGGCTACAATCAGCAGAGGAGATACTGGGAGTGACGGATGGTCTGTAGCCTGCTCTTGCTGGTCATTATGTGACTACATGTGCAATCAAAATCTGTAGGACTTCAAGTGGGGTGCGCTGGTGGTCACCTGTAATTCCAGCATTCTGGGAGGCTGAGGCAGGAGCAGTGTAAGTTCGAGCCTAGCATGGGAAACTTAGAGGCTTAGGAAGACTGTCTCAAAATAAAAATGAATGGAAATGCATGCTATGTAATAAAAAATAAAATGAATATTTAAATTAAAAAATTTTTTTTCAAATAGGGTCTCACCATATAGCTCTGGTTGACCTTGAACTCACTATGTAGCCCAGGCTGGCTTCCAACTTGTAGCAATCCTCCTGTCTCACCCTCTCGAGTGTTGGGATTACAGGTGTGTACTACCACACCCAGCTGAAAAATTTATTATAGCAGAAGACATACAGCTATTTATTCCTCTTCAAAATCCTCCCCAGGACTGTTTCAGGAAGTGGCAAGAACAATGGGATAAATGTGTTCAAAACGAGGGAGGGATATTCTGGAGGATTTAATGACTGTGCCTTTTGCTGTAGTAATTTTTTTTTCTCTTTTTTGGGTACCAGGAATTGAACTCGGGACCTTGCACTTGTGAGGCTGGCACCAGAACCACTGAGCTAAATTCCTGGACCTACTGTAGTAATTTTTAATTTTTTGTGATTTTTTTTTGAGACAGAGCTTCACTGTGTAGCCCAGGCTAGCCTTGAACTTGTGGTAATTCTCCTGCCTCAGCCTCCTAAGTGCTGGGATTACAGGGATGTACAACCACACTCAGATACTGTAGTAATTTTTTAAAAAATTAAACATTCACTGTAGTTCTCGATCATATCTCATAGCTCAGTGCAAAATCCCTGGGTTTAATCCAACAGTACTGCCAAAACAAAAATCCAGTGGAACCTGCACTTAAACAAGATGAGTGCAACCATACATAAACAGTAACTTCAGCAGGGTGAAGTCACAGCCCTGATCCAGGCCTCCTGAGCTGTGGGCTCAGAACCTCAGGGAAGAGGCTCCACAAGTGCTGTGGAGAGGACCCCAGGTGACACTGATGTGCCCCCGATACAGTCACTGTCTTGGTGGGGCCCCAAGGCAGAGGCCTCACAGCTTCTGACCAGACATGCAGGGCTTCCCTACACAGCCACCGCACCTGTCGGAGGCACCTGCGCTCTTCCCGGCTGCCTCCGCATCTCTGCCGCTCTCCTTTCTCCAGTAGGAATCGGAGCTGTCTTCCCAGTCCGAAAAGGAATTGCCTCGCAGCTCCACAGCGTCATCAAAGTACCTGCTGGGACAGGAAGGGACAGTGGTAGGGTCCTCAAGCTGTCCTCTCCTGCTGGGGTCCATGGCCTTTGGCCTTTTGAGTGACCGGGTGGAGCGGGCCGTCCGTCGCCGCCCCCTGCAAGAAGTCTGTGCCATCCATGCTGCCCCTTGGAAGACGTGGCTCAGGACGAGCTCCACGCTGCAGCTGACTGCACCGAAGTGCGTTGCTGGAGGAGGCACAGGACAGGACAGCTTCAGTGTGGTTAACATCGTTCACAGATGTCTTCGTCTTCTAGTGACAAAGGCCACTGTTGGGCCTGGGGACTGCTGCACCCAAGGAGCCCTGGCTGGCAGTGCCTGCCACGATCAGTAAGCATGTTTGGTGCCAACAATGGAAGTGGTGCCCATGACCTTTCTCTGGGGATGGCACAGACGAGGGTCCCCGAGCAGCCCTGCTCTGAGAGCATGCAGTGGCTGCCTTCTGTTCCATGTGGCCAGAGAAACGCCCCTGATCAAGAATAGCAAGGCTGCCCGAACAGGACAGAGGCTGGTAGGCGAGGTAGCCCCGCTAGAGCCTTGACCAACAGTGACCATGCCACGTCAGGAGGGAAAGACCCCAGCCTGATCTGCGCCCTGATGAAGGCTCAGGGGCTCAGGCTGAGGAAAGGAAGGGTGAGGAGGCTTGCCCGGAAGAGTAAGGCTGGCAGGAGGCACAGGGGATACAGGCAGGCACAGGCTTGTATAAGGACAGGCACCCTGAATGTCGGACTCGGCACAGATGAGCCTGAGGGACACTGGGACCAGGACCCATAGGAGCCCAGGCCAGAGGTGGGGCTTCTGGGAACAGTGGAGAGGAAGGAGAATTTGTACTCAGACTCCTGCCTTCTCTGGCAAGAAGGCTGCTAAGGTCGCATCATGTCACACTGGCCATTTCCAGAAGCTTGGGAGGGGAATGGGAGCTGGAAGTGCATCCGGCTTCCAGCTAGAAACCAAGGAGGGCACCTGCGCTGCACCCTGGCTCTGCTTGCTCAGAGCACACCAGGACAAGAAGGGACAGGAGCTCAGAGGACAACTCCGGAGCCATGGGGTGTGCTGGCCTGGAAAGCTACTGCACGTGTCTCATTTTCAAGCCACTCATTTGGACAGACCCAGGACAAGAACTAAGAGCACTTCCGTTGGAAATTTCCAAGGCACAGAAGCAGTGCTTCTGAGGGGCCTGGCACGGTGCTGGCGGGAGATAGGGGTGAGGAGCCTCTGTCCCTGCCCTCATGGGGCTTGGGAACATCCCAGGGGTGGGGCTGGGCAGAGCTGCCTGGAGGACAGGGACCATCTGGAGGAGGCTGGGCACCCCTGGGGGGACCAGCACTGGGCTGGCCGGGCTTCTCTGCAGATAGAGTAGCTCAGGAAATGACAGCCTTCAATCGCACAAGCCCAAATGCCACTCCCCATGAGGGGCTCTCTGTGCTCTGGCACAGTGTGGCCTCTGGTGCCTGGAAAGGCCAGGGTCAGGGTCAGCAGGACAGAGTAGCTGCCATCAGTCCCAGCACAGACTCACCAGCCTCCCCAGTGCCAACCTCTCCTGCTGCCCTAATGCTTGGATTTCTGGGTCCGCGTCCTCTGTGCCCCTTCTTCCTTCCTTTTTGCCCTCCAACTGTCCTGCTCCTACACTGGAGACGCCCCTCCCCGTCTGTGCCAGGGCCCTAAGGGCACACTGTCTGCTGGTTACAGATGTCACTGTCCCATCCCAGGCCACGCTGACCTTCCCAGGTCATCATTCAGAACCCAGTCTATAGTTACATCATTTATATCCTGGATTTAATGGAACTCAATAAAAGATAAAACCCAAGGATGTGCTCGATCTTTTTTTTGGTACCAGGGATAGAACTCGGGACCTTGCACTTGTGAGGCAGGTGGCAGAACCACTGAGCTAAATCCCCGGCCCTTGATCTTCTTTTTAACAGAAGCAGCACTCTTTGTAACTCATAATACACAAGTTCTAATGGCTAATGTGTAATTGGAAGCAAGGAAACATGGCACTAACATGCTAGTTTCAGAGAATCCTGTCTATTTTACCTCAGGTGCCAAAGGACCTAGTAGCACCCTGCTCAATTAACTGGTGACTGGACCAAGGAGGCCTAGAGCAGCGTTTAGGTCCCCAGATACCTGTGGGTCATGATAGCAAGGCCCAGGGTCGCTGGCAGAGCCCCACAGCCGGGTCAACAGCAAAGTATGATTTACTCCCGGTTTCCACGTAAGGAAGTGCTTCACAGCAATGCAGGCCAGGCCAACTGTGTTGATTAAACCTTTGAAGAAGCACTGCTGAAGGACTAGAGGCAGAAAGCAGGTCTGGCAGAACCCTGTCCATGACTTAGGCCCATGAGGACCTCGAAGTCCCCGTTCAACAGGAGACCTCACTTGGGCCCCTTCTGTTTCCAGTGCTGTAACCAGGTGACGTCCCCACTGAGCTTGAAATTTCCTCTTCACTCCCTACACGACCACCGGCAGGCAGACGACAAGCAGTGAAATCTCTGAGCAGGTGAATGCTGACTGGGACACATGCTGTCATTTGAGATCTCCATCTGAGATGACTTGACAGTCATTTCCAAATCAAATTACAATGTTAACTTCAGCCTGTATGAAATGTGCTTAAATGGTTTTAAAGGGCATGATGTGGAAATAATCCTGTAGGAAACTGGAAACTGGTAGGTGCACTGTTCAGGTTATATAAGACCAGCAAATATAAACCCCGACAGTCCCTGAGCAGACTGCCATGGAGCACCATGGAACTGCTCTTTATCTTTGCAAAACACCAGGACTCAAAATAATTTGAGGCTGTGCTTAAAGAAAACTGTGAGGACAGTAGTCTACATAATTCCTTCACCTTGACAGGAAAAATACATGATTCCATAATTAGAAGAAAGACATATTTATACCTCTCCCCATGGGATATACATATCTCTCATCATATAAAGCCCCCGAGACCTGTATGGTTGCCAGGCAGCTCCAGCACCCTCAGAGATGTCCAGGAAGCAGTGCCTGTCACTGACAGACACACGTCCAGTGTCACCAACTCCTAACCCCACAGGTCCAGCAAGCAAGCACTTAGACTGAGCCACATGTCTTACGACCTAGGTTTTTTTGTTGTTTTCTGAGTTTTTTGTACCAAGGATGGAACTCAGGACCTTGCGCTTGCAAGGCAGGTGCAGCAAAGTAAATCTCTGGCCCAGGACCTAGTTTTGTATCATTACAGCAGCTTCCAGGGCCAGGGATTTAGCTCAGTGGTGCCACCGCCTGCCTCACAAACGCAAGGCCCGGAGTTCGATCCCCGGTACCAAAAAAGAAAAAAGAGCAGCTGCCCATCCTAAGAGGCAGGGCTCTACTGCAGCCACTCACTCCAACCTCATGAACCCTGGAGTGGGCGCTGTTAGGATCCCTAGGTTACAGCGAGGAAGCCACAGCACAGACAACAGGAGTAACCTGGCCCAGCCACTATGTGGCACAACCAGGATTCAAACCCGGGCCGCTTGGCTCCTGCCCCTGGGGCCTCTGTGCCCCAGCTGTTCCCACCTCTAGGAAAATCTGGGTGCCCTGCTTCCTGCATGGGTCAGGTTCTTGGGGGAACGTTGCAGAGTGAGTCAATTCAAGACTATACTCTTTCCCCGTCTGAAGGCTGCCAGAACCTGAACACGCACTTCCTCCCATCAGTCAGGGTGCTGAGGACAGGTCCTAGATTGGGCCTTTTCCTCTGTCAGCACACAATAGCTTCTTTCCTACTGGCTCCCACTGCTGGAGCAGGACCCAGGGCACAGCTGAGGCCTGGCCTCCTCGATCTGGGAGTGGCCACTGCAGGGCTGAGGCTCAAGGGCTCCTCCCTGCCTGAGGGCCGGTGCTCTCCTTGTCCTGCTGCAGACGGATGGACCTCTCTTCCCTCATCACGACTCCTGCCTGCCACAGCCATGTACCACAGCACAGCTTGGCAATAGCCGAAGCCTTTAAAGACAATGAAGTTCCGATTGCTACTCACTCCTAATGCAAATCAACAAGCAAACCCGTGCCAGTAGCTGCTTTCCAAAACAACACATTAATGATGGTTTTAATAGATTTACCTGGAGCTGGAGGTCAAATAGGAATCATCATTGTCCTCCTGATAGTTTTTTCTTGGCTTGGCCAGGGTGGGAGACTCCTGCTCTATGGTCTGCATATCTGAAGTCACCGAATGGGAAATGCCGCTTGAGAAAACAGTAAGACAGGAAAACTTTACACCAGGTAAGTTTGTCACATCTTTGTCTCAGCAAATAAATGAATGTTTTACACTACGTTCCAAATGAAGACAAATTTATAAGTAGGAATAAAAATACAAGTGACAAAACAATTATTTTTTAGTGTAAACTTGGGGAAAAAATGACATCTTTGTCAGAACTGTAACTACACATACCCAGTCACACGTGTCAGTTATGCTTGTGGCATCTGTGCCAGTGTGAGCTTAGTGACCTCTTAGTCCTCATTTCCTTCCCTCACAGCCATGTCTGCAAGTTTCCATGTGACACAGCAAAGCAAAACACTTAAGAACGGAAGGGAGCTGGGTGTGGTGGCACATACCTGAAATCCCAGTACTTGGGAGGCTGAGGCAGGAGGATCACTACAAGTTTTAGGCCAGCCTGGGCTACCCAGGGAGGCTGTGTCTCAGAAAAAAAGGCACAGGGGAAGAATACCAAGAAAATATCTCTAAAGTTGAAATGTTTTAGCCCACTTGTGGAAGTGAAGGAAGATCCACTTGTGATTAGGGAACTGGACTAAGTTCTGCAATCCGAGCAAGCAGTCTCACGTACCTCCTGCAACTGCCCAGGCCCATGCCGAGTCTCTCCACTTCAGCTTTTTTTTTGCCATTCATGTTCAGTTTTTCATCCTTCTTCCTTTGAATTTCAAGATCCTTATAGGCTAATCGTAAGGACGACACACTGGCAGAAAAACCAGACACTCTGTAAGTCAGCTTCAACTCTAGGTTCTTACCTAGAGTAAGATACCAAGCAAAATAAAATCTGCAACATTCTCTTAGCTTCATGCTTCTTCCCATAATTGATAATTATGAAGGTAAGCTGCCCTTTTCTTTTCACTCAAAAAATGTGAATGGGTTTACGGCCCTTTTGTGGCTGCTGCTGTGCGCTAGTATGGGCCTGATCGTGTGTAGTGACATAACTTATACCTCAGCGACTTCTCTAAAGATCGTACAAGGCATGATTTCCCTCATGGAGTGAGACCCAATTATACTTTCCCATGACAAGCCAGAGTATAGTGTCAGTGTCACCAGTCTGCCCTAAGGTTACAATATATAGAAAGCTGAATTCTTAAGCAGATAAATTAAGGAAGGCTCAATCAATTGTATAAGCATTCTCTTTCTCTCTCTTTTTTTTTTTTTTTTGAGACAGGGTCTCCCTATGTAGTTCAGGCTGGCCTTGAACTCATGGTGATCCTCCTGCCTCACCCTCCCCAAGTGCTGGAATTACAGACATGCACCACCATGCCCAGCTGTATAAGCATTCTTTTTTGTTTTTGTTTGCTTTGTTTTTTTGGTACCAGGGATCGAACTCAGGACCTTGCGCTTTCGAGGCAGGCACAGTGCCACTGAGCTAAATCTCCGGCCCTGTATAAGCATTCTTAAACAATTACAGAAGAATTTCCTGCAGGGTCTGTTAAGTAACCAGGCCTCCAAGAACATTAATTTTTATTTTTGTTTTTTAAAGACAGGGTTTCATTATGCAGATTAGGCTGGCCTTTAACTCACTATGTAGTCAAGGCTGGCCTCAAACTCATGGCAATCTTCCTGCCTCAGCCTCTCAAGTGCTGGGATTACAGGTGTGCACCACCACACTTGCCATCCAAGAATATTTAAACTGCGACAGTCACCAGCCAGTGGATTCTTAAGTGCAGCCCGTCACATACCATCTATTTATCAAATGCTTGTAACAACACACCAAAAAAATAGCAATGTACCAAAGGTGTCAAAAGATATATGAAACACTGTCCTTATGCTGAGATTTCTAAATGTGCAATAAATATCTAACTTCTCACAAAGAAAACGATACCTATATTGGCAATAATAGTAGTATTACATCATAGCAAAAAAATCCTGGGGCTCTAAAAAGTGATATATATACACCTCATAAAAATTTCTAAATTATTCATTAATGAAACTGTGAAATGTCATGAATTCCTCATAAAAGTGGCATTGTAAAAATTCCTCTGTAATATAAATTTATTTTTGGGTTTTTTTTTTGGTACCGGGGATAGAACTCAGGTCCTTGCACTTGCGAGGCAGGCAGCAGAACCACTGAGCTAAATCCCTGGCTCATAATATAAATTTCTATGGGAAAAAGGATTGACAACAGAATTTCTTCTTTTTTTTGACAACAGAATTTCTTACTGATACAAAAATACTTTGGCTTTTGCCATATCCTTCCATTAATGAGCCTGGATTTCTTGATCTGGCTTAATCTGGTCTTGTTTCCTTTAATAGTATCACTGCAGGGCTGGAGATTTAGCTCAATGGTTCTGCTGCTTGCCTCTCAAGGTCCAGAGTTTGATCCCCGGTACAAAAAAAAAAAAAATATATATATATATATATAGTATCACTGCAGAACAGTCCTGAGCAAATGAATAAGATTCTTTTGTCTTGGTTACTTTTCTCTCATTGCTGAGACAAAATACCCAACACCCAAAGTTCAAGAGGGAAAGGTTTATTTAGCTCACAGTTTGCAGGGGTTTCAGTCCATAATCGGTCAGCTCCAAGGCAGGGTGGCGGAGGGGCTACAGTTCATGGTGGGTGGAAGACAGCAAAAGCAACAAGAGACCTTAACAGCATCTTTCTACCTTTTTTATCTTTTTTTTTTTTTTGGCACCGGGGATTGAAGTCAGGTCCTTGTGCTTGGGAGGCAGGCAGTGGACCCACTGAGCTAAATCCCCCGGCCCCCTTTTTATCTTCTTATCCAGACTACTTAGGGCAGGTAGCACTCACAGCCTTAATTCTAGAGCCCTCAATCCTAGTGTTGTACCAGAAATCAATCCCAGGGCCACACACCGTGGATCCAGCCACCTCTGAAAAAGCCCCACCTATGACGGCATGAGGCTTTGGGGAACATCTGGACACAGCCCTAACATCCTTCAAGAGAGCTTTTACAACAGACCTGCTGAAAACTGCGAGTAGACAGGACTGAAGCCACAGACTGCCGGAGAAGATGAAGGACGAGCAGAAAGGTTCAGCAGGCACTCAGGCACTTCCCTCGGAGGACTCGGGGGCTCTGCGTCTTACTGCTATGAGCGCGTACCTCAGCACTCACTGGAGAGCTGCGCCAAAAGCACTCACAGAGCCATGAAGTCAGCTACAGTGCCTGTGCAGGAACGGGCTCCAGGGACAGCCTAGGGCGCTGTCACAGCACAGGGGCGAGGGCAGCTCACCGTGTCCTTCCCCCCTGCTAACTGTGCCCACTCAAGCCCGCCCTGCGCCCAGCAGCGAGAGGGAGCGTGACCAGGCCGCTCTGTCCCAGGGTCAAGGAACAAGGCTGCTCCTGACAATTCACTCTCTGCAGCTGTTAAAACCGACCTCCTAGACTAGGTCCTGCGTCTGAAGGACAACACACATTGCTTCCCCAGGACATCACAGCGATTCTTTGTGACAATGACGTGAGACGGGCCTGAGAGGCAGTGAAAGGGACTCAGGCAGGGCCGCAGGTGTCCTGAGCGAGGCCAACGAAGTGGCCAAATGAGGTTGCCAAGGCAAATTCATAAAATCCCCCGATTTGCAGCGCGAGAAATCCTGGGGCTATGCAGTTGGGACAGAGCCTGCTTCCACACAGTGAAGGTCATCTTTCTCTCCGTCTGGGTCAGAAAGCCAGCTCAGCAGAGAAATGAGTCAGTGCCAACACCTCTGGGAGTCATAGGAAGCACCGCAACACGGGCCAGTGCTGCCCCCGTGTGAACGACAGAGGATCTGAGTTGCCCGAGAGGGCCGCCGAGCTGGGGGACCACACCCACCCCTCCCAGGATTGCTGGGAGGCGTGGTAGTGAGTGCTGGCCGGGCTCAGGCCCTCCAGTGAGCTCGAAAACAGGCCATTCTCGTCACTGTGCGGCCTACGGTAATTCAGCCCACACAGCAGACACACAGGAAGGTAAGGGGAAACCACACAAATGTAAGCAGACGTCAGAAGCGGCCGCGCTGCCCATGCGCCTGCGCAGGCCTGGACGTCTCCCACGGAGCACCACGTGGGTGCGGCGCTCCGAGACCGAGACCGAGACCGAGACCGAGACCGAGACCGAGACCGAGACCGAGACCGGCTCCTTTCTTGGCTCGGACTTTGAAAGTCTCCCGGGCATGTGGAGATTTCCTCTCACATGTGCAGCCTACTGTGTGGTGATAGTGAACTTGCTGAGCTGCTCGCCAGCTGACAAACACACGTTCTCGCTGTGTCTTAGCTGTTGGGCTTAACCCTGCTCTGAATGAGGGTACCGGCTGGGCTGCCGTGTGGGTGTCCGTGTGCGGGGAGAGCTGGGTCCGCCCTCACATGTGACCCAGGACTCCCGCCTTGCGCCTTGCTGTGCTTGCGAGCCCGCCTCCTTCCTCACGGCTGCCAGGTGCCTGGAGCCAGGGGCTGCACGTCCCAAGCCCTCCGGAGGAGCCCTGCCCTTCTCCCCTCACCGACACCCCCAGCCCTGCCACCGGACTGCGCAGCAAGCAATGCAGCCTGAGCTTTTATAAAACTGAAGTGTGCAGCACCCCACACGTCCACACCTGGAGATGGAGGCATGTGGAAAGCAATCCCGGAGCTGCTTAAGTAGCAGGCCTAGTCCCTAGTACAGACCCTGTCACGGAATTCAACTCACATGGACTCTTCCTTAGGTGTAGCCCTGGCCAGCAGGTCCTCCTGCTCCTTCATTCTATCTACTGTTTGGGCCTGCTTTTCGATTTCAGTAAAGCTTGTATTCGCCAGTTTCTGGGCTCCCAAGCTTCCTTTTTTGGCCCCAAGCTGGAACATATAAAGATTATGTGTTAGCCTTGCTGTTCAAAAACTACTCTAACTACAGCTGAAGGCCACTGAGATGGGAACCTGTCAGGCGCTGTGGGGACGTCAAGGTGTTCTCTTGCTCAGTCCCCATGTCTCTGAGACGCTGCACTAGTCCTCCCTGTCACAGATGAAGAAAGTGAAGCTCACTTGAGACCAGTGGTGTTGCCAAGACCACACCGTAAGAGGCGGGGCCAATGCTTAAACCCTGGCCCCTGCTCCAGAGACGGCCATAGAGTCTCCACACAAGCCCCTCGGCCTCCGGCCTCCGGCCTCCGGAGTACATTCCATGAAGAAACACAAGAGGAAGGAGCCCAGGGAGGCCTTGCTGATTTCTTTTTAGCATTTATCAAAGACAGAAACAATCTTAGACATTCACTCTCAAAAATGTTTACTAAATATAAATTTCATCTTGTTGAATAAAACATACATTATCAAGGCCACATTTATTCTATTGTGGCTCAAAATAAAAAAGTAAATAAAACTAACAGGACAAATGGCTCTTTAGCTTTGAAGAAAACTACCAGGTAGTTTATATACAATACTTACTCCTCTTTTAGCTTGATTTGGTTTCTTTTTTATGATAGAGGAAACCTCTGTCAAAAAATAAAAATTGAAAAATCAGGCAAACAGAAATCATACATATTTTTTCCATTTTAGTGTGCCTTTCTAAAAAGTCTAATAGGCCACATATTACTAAGGACTATAGGATTTTCCACAGTAGTTTGTCACACAGAAGGCTCGAGTGTATGTGTGTGTTCTGTCACTGTGGACCTCAGAGGTCCCACACAGTGACAGGCTCAGTAATGATATGTTCTGCCTACCATACTGAAGAGAAACAAAGCGCCTGGCCCCATCCCTTAGGACTATCTTCAGGAGGGACTTTAAATCCATATAAGAACAAATGCTCCAATCAAGGTCTACTCTTAAATTGTGTGTGTGTGTGTGTGTGTGTATGTGATGCTGGGGATTGAACCTAGGCCGTTGTGCATGGTAGGCAAGTGCTCTAAAACTTAGCTATATCCCTAGCACCTTAAAAATTCCTTTAAATTATAAAGTTAGCACAGGAATGTGTGTACAGCAAAAACCATCAGTGAAGTGCTTTTCCACCTTTACTTATATAAAGAGCTTGTCATACTAGCTTCTAAGAAGTAGAGACCACACTATAGTTTAGTCACCATACTTTCATTGCTTCTCAGCCTTCTGGCTAAGATCAAATGTGGTAGTGGTGCTTCCTAAATGTCACAAAAATATATGAGATTTTAGAGAAAGATTCTTACAGAGTCATGGTGAGAGTAAATTTCAATGCAAGGTTATATATTTTAGTTTTAGAATTATGTTTAAAAGACCCAGCAATAATAGAATCTTCCACGGCTGCCTTGCAAGTGCAAAGTCCTGAGTTTGAGCCCTGGTACCAAAAAAAAAAAGAATAGAATCTTATTGTTTTTCTTCCGAAGATCACAATGTACAGGCCAGGGAGTGACTTCTCAGCCCACTGTATACAAGGCCTGGGCTTGGTCCCCAGCACTACAGAAAAAAAAAGCAAATAATGGGCTCTGATGGGAAAACAGAGCATAAACCCGCAAATACCACGAGGACACTCTTGAGCCGTAAGAGCGAAGAACAGCACATTTCCATGAGAAGAAGTTGCCCGTGGATGGAGCTGTTCTTCCATCACTTGCTTTTGGATTTGTACTGTGCCTGTCACATGACTGCTCCCATCCTCCCATGAGTCTGACCCCGGACAGGAAGATTTCTAGACAGGGTGGTTTTCAAAGCGGCTTCTTTCCAATGAACATAATATAATATGCACCAATTTCAAATGATAATTCCCTGATAATGAAAAAGTGCATTTACATTTCTCCATGATACAAAGAGGGAGAAGAAAGGGTGTGCTCCCCAGTGGACAAGAGTGTCAGGGCTCTGTGGGCACCTCAGACCTCGGGCATTGAGCAGCACCTACATTGCCTGGCCCCAGGCAGGCGCCTATGGCAACCTCAGCATTCTGGACTCATCAGCCTTGCTGAAAGGGATAGCAGCTTTCAGGCTTCCATCAAGGGCACAATGCTGTGCTACCTTATACAGTGAGACATGGAAGGGCAGGTCTACTCCAAAATACTGGCTCCCTGTGAGTCAGAGGTGGGGTTCTCATGTGTTACCTGAAGCAGGCTTTGCTGGGGCACTGAGTCCTTCCACACTTGGTCCTTGTTTCGGGGCACCTGAAGTTTAAAACATTGACTTTAATGCAGAAAATGCACTCATCAAACTTGCTTTGGAATGTGTTAATAATGCAACATGGTCAGGCATACATATTTTTTTTTTTGGTACTGGGGATCAAACTCAGGTCCTTGCACCTTGCGCAGCAGGTGGCAAAACCACTGAGCTAAATCCCCTGCCCCAGGCCTACATATCTTGATTTTTTTTTTTCTGTACCAGGGATCAAACTCAGGACCTTTCACTTACGAGGCAGGCACAGTGCCACTGAGCTAAATCCCTGGGCCCCCTTAATTGATATTTTGTTGTTGTTGTTGTTACTGGGGATTGAACTCCTTGTGCCTGCAAGGCAGGCAGCAGAACCATTGAGCTAAATCCCCACCCCCTTAACTGATTTTTAATGATTGCTTCTCTTTTTAGTATTTTTTTTTTCCCAGCACTGTTTTGTTTTTTTTTTTTGGTACTGGGGATTGAACTCAGGACCTTGTGCTTGTGAGGCAGGCATGGTGCCACTGAGCTAAATCCCTGGCCCGTCAGCACTGTTTTTTGAATCTAGGGCCTTTCCACTGAGCTATCTCTTTAGCTCTTTTTTTAAAATTTTTGAATTTTGAGACAGAGTCTCACTAATTTGCTAAATTGCTCTGGCTGGTCTCAAACTTGCCATCCTCCTGCCTCAGCCTGGAGTGGCCACCAGGCCAGGCTCATTATCATTTTTTTTTCCAGTACTGAGGATCAAACTCAGGACCTTGGACTTGCAAGCCAGGTAAGGTGCCACTGAGCTAAATCCCTGGCTCCCTCATTATCATATTTTGAAAGGTGTTTATTTTCAACTGACACACAATGACTGTACATATTTATGGGATGCAGTATGACACTGTGATACATATACAACATGTAACCTGCACGACCATCATTCCAAACATCACTTCTCTGTACTGGGAACACTTCTCTTCTAGCTATCCTGAAATACACAATTGCTGTCAACCACATTTCTCCTACTCCACTATAGAGGACTGATATGGTTCCACTGAAAGTCTATTAAAATGGAAGTATATTTTCTCCTGCCTCAGCCTACCAACTGTTGGGATTACAGGTGTGTGGCACCATGCCCAGCTCTGGCTGACATCTTGATTTTCCTATTTCACAGCATGCCCCACCCTCGGAGCAGTGCCCTCTGATAGTTCTAAGGACCCCACCTTCATTATCCCCAGGATCGGCTCCCAGGACCCAAGGTGTTGAAGGTGATGGCTCCGGCTGTGCTGATGTCCACGCTGAGCCGCTCCCCTGCATCAAGGGGAGGAAAGTCACTGGCACACAGAGCAGAACAGTCATGAAAAACCAAGCCGTGACACGTCATCACGTGTCCTGCTCCATGGAAATGGTAAGATTCAAATGCACCTATTCTTATATTTCTGTTTCAGTGCTCAAATGCCTGATGCTCCTTCCTTTTGTTAAAATATAATTTTTATTTTGAAATACTTCTGGACTTGCACAGAGCTGTGAATACACTGCCAGGAGCTTCCCGTGTATACCTGGCTTCTCTGTCATTGAACCCCAGGCACAGCCATCACTGTCACCAGGAAGACTGCAGGGCAGCACTGTTGGCTCCCAGAAGCCCCATGGTCTGGGGTCCCACCAGCTTTCCCACCAGATTCTCCCCCCAGGACCCTGCGCTGCATGGGTGGCCAGGCCTCCTTGGTTCCTCAGGACTGTGACAGTTGCTCAGCTGTCCCTTGCTTGGGCACTGCACCCATGCTTTGTAGGTTACCCCTTGGGGAAGGGCACAGAGGAGCAGGGCTCCTCTCCCCACACAATATCAGGGGCCCCCATACTGGCCCGGGTGACCCTGATCTCTTCCCTCTCCATGCTCCTGTCTTGGGAGGGGACGCCCCACATCCAGCGCACACTGAGAAGAGGGAAGCCCTGGGCCTGGTCTGGATTCTTCCCCTCGGGAGATCTGCTGCTCTCCATGAGTTCATCTCCTCCAGTGGTGGCAAACCTAGCACACACGTGCCGAAGCAGGCTGTTTGAGTCACTGAAAGCTCTAAAAGGTTCACCATCACTCACTTATATCAGTATGGATTCACAAGTGTTTGTTTTCCTGTAGGGTTTATAATTTTCAGCAGTGTCATTATTCATAGTGTCATTCTAACTGCTACAGGATGGACCTCTGGAGGCTCTTCCAGGTTGGCCGAGAGTGCTCTGACCCTCTGGGTCACCCCAGCATCCTTCTTTTCCACCATGAACTCTCCCAGCTGGTCCAGTCCCAACCTGCCCGCCTGCCTGGTGGCCTCAGCTGCAACTTCTCCAGTGAATGCAGAGCAGTGGTTAGAAACCAAGATCTGGATCCTCCTGTGCTCCTGGTACTTACCAAGGTGTCACCTTTCCCTCAGTCCTCTCAAGGGACAGAGCCAGGTGACATATGTGTGTGCTCACCATGCTTACATGGGTATTTGTAGTTTTCTGTCCATCTCTCTGAGTGTACATACATGTACACAGACACATGAAACGAAAAACATGATTCCTGCTAATACCTCTCCAACATTATTTTTTGTATTTCTTATCTTTTCAGCCCATCATTTCCATTCATGGTATTTCTCAGCTACTAATCATAGTTATTCTATATCTAGTTCTATGGCAAACAAGAGCAACATATCACAAAAGACCACTTAGGGGTCTTTTGTTTCCTGTTCTCCCCTTTGGTAACTATTTCTGGTGGCTCTTCAGTGATCAGTGGTGAAATGTACATGAAAATTACAATAGCAAAAATACTGCACTGAACAAAATATACAGGCTAGTGACCGCTATGGCCTGGACCTTACATGTCCCTCTAAGGCCTATGTGTCAGGCAGAGGCCTGGGCCCTGACTTGAGACATGGCAGGAGGTGGTGGCATGTCCTTGAGGTCACTGAGGGCCTGCCTTTTTGGGGGACCATGGGGCTAATATCCATCCCTCTCCTCTCACATCTCCACAATGAGGGGTGCATTCCTGCTCTGCCTTGTACCCCCACCAAGGAGCTAGCTCGCCTCAGGCCTCAAAGCTATGGGGCCAATCAACCATGGCTGGAAATTTCAAGATCTTTTTTCTTCCTAAGCAGATTAGGTCAGGAATTTGTGACAGTGGTGGCAAGCAAGCAACACAGCCACATATGCAGCTTCACACAACTGGAAAATGGTGAGACAGGCTGAGCAGCACATAAGCAAACAGTAGCCCCTCCACGGGCCTGGAGGAGGCCCCAAGTCACGGTGGAGCAGCTCCTGAGCTGGCCAGAAGCTGCTGCAGGCTCTGTAGCCTTCCTGACCCTTAGCAAGGGAAAGTGGGAAGACCCACCGAGGCACCAGGCCTACTGTCACTGCTGCCGTCAGACCATAGCAGCAGGGAACATGATCCTCACAGCATCTGCTAAAAGCTCACTCTGTGCTGGGCACTAAGCATATTTGCCTGTGTGAGCTCTCTGCCTTCTCCCACAGTCTGGAGATAAATACTCTGCACACAGCAGAATCAGGGCGCTGAGATCCTAACCCCTACTGAAACTGTCAGACACAAAGCTCTGAGTCCCCTGTGGCACTGCCAGAATTAACATCCCAGTTTCCTAGGTGCTAAGAACTGACAGGCGACCACATTCCAGTCAGAGGTCCCCAGCAGAAGTGGTGTGTGCTGTCTCTAGACTGCTTCTGTAAAAGGGGAGGCAGGGCTTGCTTTCCCAGATGTTCACCCTCTTCTGTGCACTGGGAAAGGTCTTAGACTGGAGGAGTCATGTTAGACCCTGACATGGAAGTCACATGTAGGGGACAGCAAAGTAAACTCACTGGGTGTTATGGTTTACATCTGCATGTCCCACCAAAGCCTCATGTGCTTGTAGGTGGTGCTTTTGGGAGGTGACTGGGTCATGGGTGCATGACAGTCATCACTGGATTAGTCCACTGATGAGTTTACAGTGGGCTGTGATGTTGGGAGGTGAAGCCTGATGGGAAGAGGTGGATCACAGGGTGTGTAGCCTAGAAGTGCATCTCCCTCCTCCTCCCTTGATGCCTCTCTGCTTCCTGCCTGCCGTGCCATGAACTGTTTCTCCTCTGCCAGGCCACCCTGCCTTGGAGCCAGCTAACTATGGACTAAAACCTCTACAAATCATGCGCCAAAATAAACCTCTCCTTTACTTGTGGGTGTTGGGTATTTTGTCCCAGCAATGAGAAAATAACTAAGATATCAGGCAACCCTGGGCAGGCACCTCTGAATGGATGGTGATAAGTTAATTCCTATCTTTTGAAAATCACTTATTCCTACAGCGTAGCCTGTACCCTAACTGAAACATGTTAAATATATACCTTACATAATTTTCAGAAAAGCACACTTTAAAATGAAGTAAAGCATAATACATACCTCAGGAGAGACATGAGAGGCAAAAAAGTCTTCCTCCTTTGGTGGAGGGGATGAAGGTGGAAGCACACAGCTGTCAAGCCACAGCTGGAACAGAAACAAAGCTGTGCTCAGCATTCTACAGGCCTACATGGGGCTCTCACACCATAGAGGCCTAATTCCTGGCAATTGGGGCTTTTGTAACTATAGCCTCAGGGCTCTGTGGTGCAGGAACCCATTGGTCCAGTACATTTTGTTTCCAAACCTTTAGGGAGTCAAGTATCCAAATACTTTTTTTTTTCTTTTTCAGAAATACTTTCTATTTAAAAATTTTGTTTTGGTTTTTTTCCCTTTTTTCTGTTTTTTTTGGTACTGGGAATTGAACTCGGGACCTTGCGCTTGCAAGGCAGGCAGGGGAACCACTGAGCTGAATCCCCAGCCCCTTGTTTTGGTTTTTTGAGACAGGGTCTCGCTATGTAGCCCAGGCTGGCCTCGAACTCATGGTGATCCTCCTGCCTCAGCCTCCTGAGTGCTGGTATTACAAGCATCCACCACTATGCCCGCTTAAATTTTTATTAGTACATACTTGCAGTACCTAATGCTGATGTTCATCGTGGGGAGCCGGTACAGACACATAACACATCTTGATTCATTTTTCAGCCCCCCTCTTTTCCCTTCCTCCTCCCTCCCCAGAAACCTTTTCTGAAAAGGAAAATTTAAAGCTTCATTTGTAAGTCCAGATTCCAAGCCCACACCCAGCCCTCGCTGTTCATGGATTCCACACCTGTGCATTCACCTGAGTGCTGAATTTCCTTCAGCCCCTAGTCCGTCCCCATGGTGTTTTCACTCTGGTTCCCAGATATGCATGGACCTATAGGTGAAGTGTGCACCAAGCGCTCACCCAGGCTTGGTGGAGCACACTCTGCTTTCTGGTGTAAGTTCTCACACGTATCAACAAGCGTCCTCTTTTCAGACTATTGGTGCCACATTTTCCACATTTATGCTGTTAGCAGGTAATTTCGCTGTGTAAAATGCCACACACTTCCTCACCTCAGGAGGCCGTGATGTGATTTACCATACAGACATGGGTGTTACAGAGGCCGCACTGAGGCAGCCGCTCAGTGTTCATGAGTCACTGCTATTACATCATATGAGGTCCATTCATTCACTCACTCTCATTCATTCTTCTCCAGTGCTGGGGATCAAATGTAGGCCCTTGCACAAGTTAGGCAAGCGCTGCAGCACAAGGTACAGCTCTACCTCTTAAATAAGGTATCTTTCTACAGAAACACACATGAACTAAGATTGTGTATTGGTCACTTGAGGAAAATGTGACCACGGGATAAAAGACCCTACCCCGATGGTCCTCAAGGAGCAATGCTTCAGGGTTCCCTAACTCCATGTTCAGGGAGAGGTGACAGAAACCACTTGGAAGTCTGAGTGTCAGCTTTCTCCTTACGAGAGAGCGCGGCAGGAAGTTCAGGATAAAAGCATGCATGGTTTGTACTGGATGAACATGCACCTGAGGCAACAGGACCCTGGGAGACTCACGTCAGTGCCGTGCTTCCGTGCAGCCTGGGACGCCCTTGACTTGACCTTTTCCCTGTAGAGCTGGGCGGCGCGACTGTTGTACTTCGCGTTGGTGTCGCTGGTGGCACAGCCGTGCTGGTGGAAAAAGGACAACTGCAGAGGAAAGCATGCAGGTCGGTAGGGTACTGCATGGCACAGACATCCTGGCCCAAAACGAACCACCCAGAACGCAGGATCTTTACAATCTCAGTGAAAACTAACATAATTTAAACACCATGAAAGGTTGAAATGTAAGTTTTTCCCTTGCAAGGAGGGAATTCCCTACATAAATATAACAGCACATTTTGGTAAGACTAGATAGAGACTCCCATTAGGAAATGCATTACCTGGCCCTCACTTCTGAGTTAAGGACTGTTTTGAATTCATGAGCAATCATTTTCCATTTGCATTACAGAAAATTAGAGATTTTCGATAATCCAGTTAGGAGCTACGCTGTTACCTTGTTGAACACTGTCTCCATTAACACAGATAGTAACAATCTTACAAAGTAAGATGATAGAGCAAATTGCAAACAATTAGAAGAAACTGCCTTAAACCGCCTACCCATCCGCCCACTGACACGAATTCCAGGGCTTGCACAAGAAGTCTTTGCTGAACCTAAACTGATCAGTTATAGCATCAGTCACCCACATGTGTCAGAGCCTGGTCAGTGCTCCTCATGGGTAGCACCTCACAGCAACACTACCAGCCACGACTGGCGTCTCACTGAACAGATCAGGAAATGGAAGAACAGAGATTGGACCTGTTGGCCAAGGTCACCCAGAGAGTAAGGAGCAGCAGCGCTTGCTCAAGGCCAGAAGAAGCCACTCGCTGCTCAAGCTGAGCCCTGGCCCTGCCCCACTGGCAAAGGTCCTGAGGGGGCTCTGAAATGCTGGGAAGGCTGAGCTCTAAGGACAGTGAGATCAGACTCACAGTGTGAAGGGGAGCCGTGCCGAGTCTGCGAGAATCAGGATAATGGCAAGGGTTTCTAATAAGATGCTCAGCACATCTAACTCTAAGGCACACATTCTTAGGAGGAGAGTAAATGCTTTCTCAGAAAATGGAAGGAAAGGGCTGAGGATTTAGCTCAGTGGTTCTGCTGCCTGCCTTACAATCTCAAGGTCCCGAGTTCAATCCCCGGTAACAAAAAAAAAAAAGAAAGAAAGAAAATGGAAGGAAAAAACTCCCTTCATTATTGCAATGGTTTATGGCTCTCCAAAATGGACCTCACAGAACTGCAAACCTCAGTACTCAATTTCTCTCATTAGGAAATATTAAACCCGACTGAAGTTAAAAAAAGAAAAGAACAGAACAGAAAAGAAAAGCTGACCTGGGAATCTGGTAATTCCAAAACTACCACTTTAGACTCACAATTACAATTTTAAATAATTGATGCTAGACATTATTTTGATTTGAAATGTATACAAACAGGGTGTCTTATACTTTAACAGCATGTCTAAGGAAATTCCATTTGCTTAAGATCTGCTATCTTGGCATTATAAATAGTGTTTCACAAGGTTTTGCTGGCCATGTTTGAGAGAATCAGATATATTGAATTTATAAATAAAGCTTACATGTTGTGTTTGTGTTTTTAGTACTGGGAATTGAACTCAGAACCTTGTGCTTGTGAAGCAGGCGGCAGCACCACTGAGCTAAATCCCCGGCCCTAAAGCTTACATGTTTGTGTATGGTTAAGTATGTTTGTAAATGCAGTTAAGGAAATCTTCTCTTCAAACTTGTAAATTCATCCAACTTTTTTTTTTTTTGAGACAGGGTCTTGCCTTGAACTTGATGAGATCCTCCGGCCTCAGCCTCTTGGGTGCAACTACCACACCTGGCTCACCCAGCATTTCAAAGTCACTTGTGTATTAAAATCACTTATTTTATAATATGTGACACTTGTCTGCTGTATTTGAAGAACAGGTTTTTCTGAAATTTGCAGATTTAATAAATTAAATACTAATTCAAATACATATGATGCCTTCTAAGAATAAAAGGGACATTTAGTAGAAAAATTCTATGGTCATAAAGATACTTCTGGTTCCTCTATCAGCCATGTTAAGCCTGCAGACTGTCCTTGTCTTTTCTTTTTTACCTCTTTTTTGAATGAAGAATTATCTTGGGCTGTAGGTAAAATATATAACATAAAAAGAAGGCAAAAAAGATGGTCTACACGTTGGACATGGGTGCCATATCTTGTTTGTCTGTTTGTTTTTGGTAGTACTGGGGATTGAACCCAAGGCCTTTGCACTGAGCTACATCCCCAGTGCTTGAATTTTCTTAAAGCATCTATCATGCTATTTTCTGGTTAGTTTACTTCTGTAACCACACTCTGACCCTCTCTGCCTGCTGGAGAGGTCTCACTTTTTTTTGTTTTGGTACCGGGGATTGAACCAGGTCCTTGCGCTTGCACAGCAGGCGGCAAAACCACTGAGCTAAATCCCTGGCCCAAGAGAGGTCTCATTTGTAAAGCAGCCCCATGGGGTGTTGGGAGCAATGCTACATAATTCTAGGGAAAAATCATTTGAGTAGGCCTAGTTCTCCTGCCTACAGCCCAGCTAGGACCTTCCAGACATAATTGCATTTTGGCCTCCGGTCACAACTGAGACCTCAGTGATTCCCGCCCCCCCCCCATGTTGTAATCTCCAGGACAAGACCACACCTGCCGGAGAGGCCAGGGAGGAACCAAATCTTCATCTGCATAGATCCTCATTGTTCTTAGATTTCCACTGCCCCCAGCCTTTTGTTAAACCTTGTTTATCCCAATGTGAAGTACTGAACTCTATATTTCACTTGTTACTTTTGTTTCCCCATGTACTGAATAAAAGGTGCTGCAAGCTAGGGGGGCTTTGTCTTTGCTGCCCAGAGCAGCACTGGTCAGACCCAAAGCTCAGCTTCTTCTCAGTCTCATTTGTCTACCTTTCCTGTCATTCGCCGTGTGCTGCCGTGGCTCACAGGAGACTAGGACTTACTGCAGAGGTTCTGGTAACGTCCCCTTCCCCTGTTCCCTACAATGGGGCTCCAAAGGCACAGGGTGGGCCACTCTTCCGAGAGGAACCCAGTGCTGAGCAGAAGGCACAGACGTCCGGGATGCACTTACAGCATTGGCGTTTCCTCCCACTTGCATGCATCGCAGCTGGAACCATGACCAATTGGAATCCAGCTCTGTAGATCTGGAAGGAAAGAATGTTCCTCATATTAACACCTTTGTTCTCCAGAACCAAAGCACTGAGCTTCCAAAAACCAGGTTTCCTTGGGCTTTAGGATCCCAAGGAGTTGTGGCTTCTGGGATGCTCGGGCTTCTGGGTGGGTGACAGTTGGCACAAGTGGCCCCTAGCCCTTCTTGTCCCTCCTGGCAGCTGAGGCCTCGATGGCCAAATGGCCTATTCTCCTGTGCCCAGCTGGGGGGCAGGCATGCCAGGCCAGCAGCGCCTGTGTCACTCTAGCTCCTGTCACCATCTCCTCTAGGTCTCTATAGGGGTGCCCGGCTCTGCCTCTCATCCTAGTGGGTTTTGAGCTAGAATCTGGTGACATGACTGCGCTCAAGATGGAGGTTCTGTCTGGAATTCCCTCAGGCTAGGCAAGCACTCCCACAGCATGAGCTCATGAGGGGCCTGCAGAAGTTCTGCTGCTGTCATGGGACAGGAGGGTCCCGCCCCACACCACCTCCACCAGGGAGGACAGGACAGACAGGACTTTGGTGCAAGCCTGGGCCCCTCTCCTGAGTCCCAGGAAGAAGCAAAGAGCATCACTGCTCCTTCAAACACAGCAGCCGGCCCCATGCCAGCCCTGAACGACCCGGACGTCCAGAACAACCATGGGCAGGATGCACTTTACAAAGTGAAAGGCAAGAAGAGGCTTCAGACTCACAAAGATTTTCCTTTCAAGCTGTCCCTCCACTGACTTGTTTCTATGCCTCTTGGTATCATTCAGCCTTTGTACATTTAAAAAAAATTTTTTTTCTTTTGTTTTTGTTATTGTTGTTGTTTTTTGGTACCAGGGATCGAACTGGGGTCCTTGCACTTGTGCAGCAGGTGGCGAAACCACTGAGCTAAATCCCCAGCCGTTTTAGTTGTTTTTTGAGACAGTGGCTCACTACTTAGTTCAGGCCTTGAACTCACCATGTAGCCCAGGGTGGCCTCAAGCTCACGGCAATCCTCCTGCCTCAGCCTTCCGAGTGCTGGGATTACAGGTGTGCACCACCATCCCTGGCAGTCTTTGTAAATGTTAAGCAGCTTTGGGGGGGGGGGGTACTGGGGATTGAACTTGGGACCTTGCTTGCACTTTCTAGGCAGGCGGCAGGACCACTGAGCTAAATCCCGGCCCAAAAGCAGCTATTTTGAAAGTAAAACTAACTTCAGATTAATGCTAATACAATGACAAATCCACTTCATAGTGATGTACGCAAAGTAGAGATTTAACCACACTCTATAAGAAAAACATTTCCTGAAAAGAAAAACAAAACAAAACAACACCTTCTCTGGTCAGAATTTCTGACCACCAGCAAGATAAGGATACGATGGCTCAGGGTGAGCAGCTGGCTATAACGAGACCCTCGCTCTGCCGGTCTCACCAGCTACCACCGCCTCGGCGCCCCCGGTCATGTGCCATCCCCAGCCAGTTCTGTCCCAGGGTAGGGGCTGGCAGCAGGCTCTCGGGGACAGACTGAGAGCATGGAAGTCCCAACTCTGCCATTTACCAGGTGTACGATCTTAGAAAAGTGACTTCACCTCTGGTGTCTTACTTTCCTCCTTGGGGAAGTACAGGCACGACAGGTGTTTTATTGAAGAAAGTGAATTAGTTAACATCTGAAGAGTACAGGGAATGCTGCCTGGCTCACAGTAGACCCCACAGGGCTAGAAGTCGCACTCATCACGGTGTGACCCTACACACTGCACCAAAGTCCCTCGAGTTCCTGGCACAATGCCTGGCACACTGCGGGTTCCTGAATGGGGCTCTGCATCCTAACATGGGGGCCTACCCACTGAGATAGGCCATCTGCCTTCCCAGACTTCATTCAAACCTTTACAAAAGGAAAGCCAGAGAGTCCTCTGTGCATTTTGTAGAAATGAAGGTAAGAACTAGACAGGAATTTGTTCCCAAACTGAGCTCTAGGAATTCTCTCAGATCCCTGGACTTGCATCTGCCAAGGAGATGTGTTCCACAGGTGAGTTCTGCCTTCAGTCCAGGGTTTTGTTTCTGCACTGGGAATCGAACCCAGAGCCCTGCGAATGCCAGGCAAGCACTCTACCGCTGAGCTTTGCACCCAGCTCTACCGTTCACTCAGATTAAGGGATATGTGAAAACTGAGAGTGCTGAGAAAAAAAATAAAGCAAAGAAGGTAAGAAAAGCTAAGGGATGAGTTAGTGTCCCTTTAACAAAGTAGCTCCCTTAACCAGTAAGGTAAATGAGAAGACGGGTTTCCCCAAACCTCCGTAAATCTATGTGTTGAACGCAACCTCCTTCAAAATACCATGAATCAGCTTTGCCAAAGTCAGCATGCTTTTTTTTGGTACTGGGGATCGAACTCAGGTCCTTGGGCTTTTGAGGCAGGCACCGGAACCACTGAGCTAAATCCCCAGCCCAGCATGCTTTCTATATATATATATTGTTGGTACCGGGGATCAAACTCAGGACCTTGCGCTTTCAAGGCAAGTGCTGGAACCACTAAGCTAAATCCCCGGCCCAGCATGTGTTTTGTAGTTAGAGGCTTTAAATAGATTTCAGAAACTTAGGAAACCAGAATGAATCTCACTAAGTCAACAAAACAAAGTTTTCATGGAATTAAAATTTAAAATGAAATAAATCCCATCACAGTTAATCCTCCCCAAGACAAGCTCAGGGCAGCTCTGGGCAGCTGTTTACTTCTAACTTTCGGACTGCATCATACAAGGTCACAAAACGGGACCCCTTGAAGGCGCGCCTGTCTCCTTGCTCCTCCTCGGTGGGTTGTGTGCCCTGAGCAGGCATCAGAGGACCCCATCTGGTCACGGTTGGGCTTACAGGATTTCACGACGGGCAGAGACGGAGAGGCGCAGCCCAGATGGTTCAGGGATGAACCAGACAACGGTGCCGGCAGCCTCCCTCCCCTGAGCTGCCCAGGCCAGGTCACCTGTCCCATGTGTCACCCAGGAGGGCCTCAGGAGGGAAGTGAGAGCTCCAGCCTGGCAGTTAATTCGACACCGAACATCACACAAACCTTCCCCATGGAAACTTATCTCTTCTCACTTTCATCAGTGTACAAGAATCAGCTAGGAGGGCTGAGGATTTAGCTAGGTGGTGCTGCCTGCCTCGAAAGCGCAAGGTCCTCAGTTCAATCCCCAGTATCAAAAAAAAAAAAAAAAAAAAAAGAATCAGCTAGGAAGCCTGGCTCTACATCAGGCCTTCTTTCCCAAAGAGAGAAGGGTTAAACATTTACCAGCAGCCAAGAGTGTTGGTGCTCGCCCCTAATCCCAGCATTTGGGAGGCTGAGGCAGGAGGATCCCTGTGAGTTTGAGGCCAGCCTGGGCTGCATGCTGGGTTCAAGGGCAATTTGAACTGTATAGTGAGACTCTGTCTCAAAAACCCAAGAAAGGAAGAGGAAGGAAAGAAGGGAGGGACAGAGAGAGGGAGAAAGAAAAGAATCAACTACAAAGCATTTCAACCTTTCCTAACTCTACATCTCTTCTCAGAGTCTCAGTGCAGACTTTCCTTTTCTCTGCCGTCAGATCTTACCAATCTTTAAAGTTCACTGCAAATGACACCTCAGCTTTTAAACTCTGCCTGATTTCCTGAGTTTCTTAATGGGGGTGGGGGTGGGGCGTAAACGCAGACCTTAGCTTCCTTCTTGCATGCAGAACTTTACATTCTGCCCCATCTGTCTGCTGTATTTGAGCTTGTTCCTAGCCCCATTCCCACAAGACCCTAAGCTCAAGAAATACTTAACAGGAACTTGAGAAGAAACAGCCAGAGGTCGAGGTGCAGTGTGACAGGCGACTTCCTAGCAGCATGAAGAAGAGCTGGGCCTTCAGAGGTGTTGCCAGGGCCATTTCTAAATCAGGCTTACAAGCAGTGGGCTCCCAGAGCAGCCTGCATTTCCACACACTCCTAACCTGCCTTCCCCTCGTTCACTGGCAGAAGCCATAGTTTATAGTTACTTTTTTTCCTTTGTAAAACTGTTGCCTTGAAATTCTACTGAAGAAAACATAAACTCCACTTAAATACATCCAATCTATACTCTGCTGTTAACAGGGCCCCTGCTGGGAAGGGAGATGATGTTTGCAGGGCAGGCAGGCACTTGGGAGAGGAGGGTAAAGGCGGTTTGAGGAGGGACTTTATCTTACTTTATATACTTTTTCCAATAAGCTAGAGTTTGTAATGCTTCCTAGTAAAAACTTTAAAGAGGAACCCTTCTCCACTAAAAACAAAAACCCATACTGAGTATTTTTTTAGCCAGAGACTGTGTATTGCAGGCAGGCCTTGAACTTCCTATGCCGCCCAGGCTGGCCTCAAGCTGCTAAGGCGCCTGACTCAGTCTCCTCAGTGCTGGGATGACAGGCGTGCGCTTGTACCCAGCTCTGAATACCTTTCCAACCTCTCCTTCTCTTGTTCACATCTGTACTGTGGCCCTCTAGTTGTACAGCAAATTTTAATTGCTGTGTTTGAATCATTTACAAGCACTGTGAGTCATACAGTTTTATTTACTTGACTTTTAAAAGTCTAGTGGTTAAACCACCCCGGCCCAAACTGATCCTGCTGTTCAGCCCTCTCAGGCTCTAGGCCAGTCCTCCCCTCAACAAGGAAAAGGCAGAAAAACACCCCATTTCCTGCAAGGGAGAGGGGAGGAAGAGGGTGGGCCAGGTTTTCCTGAGAGGGACTTGGCCCAGAGAAAGGGAAGAGCACAGCACCAGCAGAAAGGAGAGCACCCGTCAGGTGTGTGGCCCAAGCTGGCTTCAGACGCCCTGCGGGAAGCTCCCATATGCTGACTCACTGATCAACACAGGGAAAAAGGGCATTAAAAGTAACAAATAATCCGGACCAGTGTGCAGCCCAGCGGTAGCTGTGCATGTGCGAGGCCCTGGGTTCCATTCCCAGCCCCAAAAATGAATAAATAAAACTAACTAAACAGGAAAGAATAGTGTTTCAACACACAGCACAGGGAAAACTAGATACCCACACGCCAGAAAATGAAGCT